TCCGTGTGAAGGAAGGTTTTCTCTGTTGAGGATTTCTGTATTTGTGTTTCATTTTGAAATAATAGAGCACCAGCTGAGAATCGGAAGCTGTACTTGAAAGCATTGCTTTATAGTGGATACTAGTACAAAGTGGATGCAAGTGGGTACTTGTGGGTGTCATCAGAATAATGTAAAATTGAAGTTTGGAGTTCTTGATATGTGTCTGGAACAACTCAATGGATGAGATTTGGAGTCTTGTAAAATGATTGGCAGTTCTGAATATATCAATGGCTGGTGATACTAAGGAATTAAGGCATTTTTTTATCATAAGATGAATATTTTGCCATTTGTCCACAGGAATTTATATTCAAATTTTATTCTTTTATTTTAAGATCACAGGCTGGGAAGCTGCTGGGTTATGTGATTCCCTTGCTATTGTATGTCTTTTTGGCTATGCATAACATCTACACTATGGGGCAAAAATCCCCATAAACCTGGGATCCTTAGCTTCTTCCATATTCATCCAGACTTCGGCCTTGTCTACACTACAGGGGGAATTGCATCTAAGCTACGCAATTTGAGTTACATGAATAGCATAACTCAAATCGATGTAGCTTAGATCTACTTACCACGGGGACGCTCTCCCATCGACTCCCCCTACTCGTCTCGATCTGGTGGAGTATGGGAGTTGACGGGAGAGTGATCTGTGGTTGATTTAGCGGGTCTTCACTAGACCCGCTAAATCAACTGCCGATGCATTGATCGCGACTCGTCAATCCCCCGATAAGTGTAGACAAACCTTTCCAGTGGAGCATGTAACTATGGTGTCTGAGTCAGAAACTTAGCAAGGAACATAAAAGGCAATAAAAAGAAGTTCTATAAATACAAAGACAAAGAAAAGTGTGGGCCCTCTACTTAGAAGGGAAGGAGAGCTCATAATGGATGATGTCAAGAAAACTGAGGTGTTTAATGCCTCTTTTGCATCATTCTTTACTAAAAAGGTAAATTGTGCCCAAATACTTAACACAATTAATATTAACAATGAGAGGAAAGGAAGGCAAGCCAAAATAGGGAATGAGCAGGCTAAAGAATATTTAGGAAAGTTAGGTATTTTTCAGTTGGCAGGGCCTGATGAAATTCACCCCTAGGTTACTTCAGGAACGAGCTGAAGCAATTTCAGAACCGTTAGCAATTATCTTCAAGAAAATATGGAGGACAGATGAGGTCCCAGAGGATTGGAGAAGGGAAAACATATTACATACCTTGAAAAGGGGAACAAATAGGACCATAGAGACTATAGAACAGCCAGCCTAACTTTGATACCTGGAAAGATACTGGCACTAATTATTAAACAATCACTTCTTAAGCTTGTAGAGGATAATAGATTAGTAATAGCCAACATGGATTTATTAAGAACAAATCATGCCAAACCAACCTAATTTCCGTCTGTGACAGGATTACTGGCCTAGTGGATGTGTGGAAATTGTAGATAGGGTGACCAGATGTCCTGATATTGTCAGGACCTTCCTGATTTTTCACACCTGCTATCTGGTCTCCCTAATTATAGATGTGATCTATCTTGATTTTAGTAAGGCTTTTCACACAGTCTCATGTGACATTCTTATAAGCAAACTAGGGAAGTGTGGTCTAGGTGAAATTACTAGAAAATGGATACAAAACTGGTTGCAAGCCTTACTCAGAGAGTAGTTAGCAATGGTTTACTGTCAAACTACAGAGAGAATATCTGGAAGAATACTGCAGTGGTCTGTCCTGGATTCAATATAGTTCAATATTTTCCTAAATGGCTTGGTTAATGAAGTGGAGTGTTTGCTTATAACATTTGTGGATGATACCAAGTTGGGAGGGAGGATTTGAATTTGGAAAAAAGAATTAGAATTCAAAACAACCGTGACAAATTGGAGCATTGGGCTGAAATCAACAAGATAAAATTCAGTAAAGACAAGTGCAAAGTACTCCACTAGAAAGGAAAAATCAAATGCACAACTACAAAACAGGGGATAACTGGTTAAGCGGTAGTATTACTGAAAAGGATCTGAGGTTTATAGTGGATCACAAATTGAATATGAGTCAACAAGGTGATGCAGTTTAAAAAAAAAATAAAGCTAATATTCTGGGGTGTATTAATAGGTGTGTTGTACAAGGTTGTGAAATCCCCATCATTGGAGGCTTTTAAAAACAAAGTTAGACAAACACCAGTCAGGGATAGTCTAGGTATATGTGGTCCTGCCTCAGCTCAGGGGGCTAGACTAGATAACCTCTCAAGTTCCCTTCCAGCCCTACATTTCTATGGTTTCATCTTCATGTACTCCACTCAGTTGAATGATTTTTGTCTAGTTCCATGTTGATACACACATACAGGCTATTCATAGAGACACCAGTGAGAACGCACATGGTATAATTGGTTTATCATGTAAACAACTGAGATATGTCAGCTATAGCAACAAATACTTGCATTACTACCATTCTGCTATCTCAGGAAATCTTAGCAAAAAGTCTTTGAAATGGCATTTTAAAATTCTTCTCTAATGTATATTAAAAATCTGCTGACAAGTGATGTAGAGAGAAATAATTCTTTCCGATATAAATACATATATGTAGTATAGACACAGCAATGTACTTGCATTCTTTGTGGCACTGTGACTAAATTACAGTTTCCTTTTAAATCCCATTTTTCAGGGATTTATCATTTTGGATTTAAGAATTTCCTAGAAGCTGAAATGTTACTTACATTGTAAGCTCCTTGGTGTAGCTCTGGTCTTTTTGCTCTGTGTTTGTAAAGTACCTAGCACAGTGGGGTTCTGTTACATTAACTAGGGCTTCTAAGCACTATGGTAACACAAATAATAATAATAGTAATTATTACATAGGTACAGTTACCCAAGATTAATTATTTTAATCATTTCATCCAGTGGAATATCCTCTTTCTCTCAAAACTTCTTTCTTCCCAGTTGGTGAAACATCTGTAAAATGGAATAGTGTGCAAATACCAAAATGGAAGGTTTGGCTTTTTTCCCCCTCAATGCTTCTGCGCTCTGACCTCTGATGGTTAAGCACCATTTTCTTCATTCATTAACAGGCTCTAACATTCTCTTCCAAAATAATACAGAGATCACTCCACTGGAGGGGAATTTGAATGAGCTACACAGATGAATGACAAACATGGAACAATATTTGGACAAATCAGAAGCCAGGATGCAGTACAGTTATTGAGAAAATAAATAAATATGGTGATTAGAAATTGTGTCATAAAACTAAAACTAGTGAAATTTGAGAACCAAAGATAGTGTTCCAAAAGAGATCTATGATTTTATTCATTCCAGGTGTTCAGCCACTTCACAGATTTGAAAAAAGGGGATTGGCATTATTGCAGGACCAGTTTGCAAATTAGGAACTGAAACCCAAATTCTGTAACCAGTGAAGTTCTGAGTTATACTTAGAGAAAAATGTCTTATTCGGAAACCTTAAATCCACCAATAAGGGCATGAAGAAAAATTGATAATTATAGAGAGGCTGATCAAGTATTTTGGGTGGAAATCTATGAGCATCTAGTATGTGTCACTTTGCTTTGTCAAATTCTAACATTAAGAGGTTGGTTTGGCAGATACAGCATTGCAAAACAACCCATTGCATTACCACATTGTACTGCGTATGAGGCCGCCAGCCAAGAAGAGTCATGAATGCCAATAGCCCATATGGAGATTGCACGAAAGGGCCTGCTGAGTCTCTTCTATCCTCTAGGTTCCTATATCGGATAGTCTAATGGTCCGAGCACAGGACGAGTACCGAGGAATTCAGAAGTTCTGGCTTTTACACTGACTCCTATGATCTTGGGCAAGTCACTGAAGTTCTGTGCTTCAGGTTCCCCATCTCTAAAAAATGGACACTAATATTTATCTACCTCCAATAGGCGCTGAGGGATTAACTATCCAATATATTTTTAAGATGAAAAATGCTGTATCCCAAATACTATTATTTTTTTAGAACTGTATCACTGTTTATTCAGATATCCCATTTAAGGGCCTTTTACACGCACTATGTATTTGCTCTACTTCAGTTTCAATTTTTCATGTCTTTTGCAGTTAGTTCACAAACTGTTGTGTGATTACAAATGAGAACAAAGCACTGCAGCTCAATGTAGTGAGATGCATCATGACAGAGGCACAGCAGGTGTCAGCTAAATCTTGATTCATTCAAACAGGATGTATACAGATGGTCCATGAATATCTTCCATCTTCATAGAGTTCAAAACGTGCACTTTTGTCTCAGTTGCCTGTTCATTCAGGCCAGGTTAGCACTGTAGTGACCAAAAGTTACCACCATCTGAGTACTAATGATAAATAATGTGAAAGGAGTTTGGCTATCTCAATCCAGCTAGGATAGATTAATATCCTCAAGGTAAGTATCAATATGGTAAAATATCATTATCACAGTATCACTGCCCTCTTGTTGGCAGTCCAAACAGAGAGCCATAGATGTAGTTCCTTCAGGTATTGTTGATGCAGATTTGCATTGCAGTGGTTTACATTACTACTGTCTCTGCTGTGTCTGTTCTGTCTGTAAATAATGTTTGCAAATGGTGCAATATTACATATTCTTTCATGCACACACTAAAAAGACTGTTTAGAACAAGTTGTTCTCATTGCATACATGATCACTGATAGGACCAAATATAGATTATAAGATATCTATGTGGTTTGGGTTGCACAGTAATGTGGTATGAATTTTTCCTGTTAATTTTATCTTGCCACAGCTGTTTTCACAAGCACTGTTCATACAGCTACACCATACATATTGTCATCAATTTGTTTCTTGCCATATGTATTTTCTGGCAACAGATTGTATTGGTATCCAATTATTCATATATGCTTAGAATATAGTATTTACTGTAGTTTACACATGGTACCTGGCTTTATTTTATTGAAAAATGACCTAGTACTTAAAGAATCAAAGTTACATTTTTCCAATTAATGAAAGGGTAATACTTCTTTTTCTGTTACCAGTGTTATTATTACAACAGTCCTGTATCTTTCGGATGCCCTTCGTAAGAACTTCCTAAATGAAAACTTTGATTATAAGGTACTGTAAGAATGAACTCCCCCAAAATATATGTTCAGTGACATAAGTAGTGCAAAAGCTTGTCAATCTGTGGCTCTTTTGATTTTGGGTTGTTACTCTTTGGATTAAATTTATCTCTAATTTCTGAGCTGTTAGATTCCTGTGGTGCTACCAGTCTCAGCTGTTCAAAACTCATGAGATTGGTTTAACAATTATTAGGTTGTGTGTTTTGTATTTGGGATTCTTTTTGTTTGCCTTCTGGTTTTAAGTCTCGAGTGCACCTGTGTCATGTTTTTTGGATTAAGGTTTCGTGATTAAGAAAATATTTTCTTTTCTGCTCATATTTCAAGATTATCTCAGAAAATAAAATGAACTTTATTTCTTATTCCCTGGCATATTTACCAAAAATATGGCTTTAGATTTTTTTTTTAAATTCTCTCAAGACCAATTAACATGGCATGTACTGTTAAAATTATAATGCTATGACATGTCATGCTGGATATTGTTAAAGATATTAGCCTGTGTTCAGTGAGCTGTGATATCTGTAATAACCCATGGCCAGAGTGTTATATTGCAGTTATAGAATGATATTTAGGGGATTAAAAACAAAAGGCTTAGTGATGGCTCCTAAGAGGTTTACTCATAGGGGAGAGGGAAAGTGAGCGCACAGTCCAAGCAGTGGTGCTTGGAGGCATTATTCTAGCTGTGCCATGTTATAAGGCACAGGGTCTGATTTTCAAGGATGCTGAGCTCCCAATGATTTCAAGTACGGTTGTGGATGCTCAGCATCTCTGAAAATCTAGGTCCATGCTATGCCTCTGGAGTCAATGGAGAGAATGTTGGCCTGAAGTAGTAGATACTATGAAACTATGTAGCCAGTGCTCCCTTATCTAGCTCTACCAATGTGCAGGAGCTAAAGCCCACATCATTAACTGCTAACTGACTATTCCCCAGGCTTATTTAGCAGTTATTACTGTCTCCTGCACCTATTTTCCTCTCCTGCATAGCTACACTGGAGCAGCCATAATTTGGCCTAGTGCAGGGGTTCTCAAACTGAGGGTCAGGACCCCTCAGGGGGTCACGAAGTTATTATGTGGCGGGTGGTGAGCTGTCAGCCTCCACTCCCAAACCCTGCTTTGCCTCCAGCATTTATAATGGCGTTAAATATATTAAAAAGTGTTTTTAATTGATGGGGGGGGGGTTTGCACTCAGAGGCTTGCTATGTGAAAGGGGTCACCAGTACAAAAGTTTGAAAATCACTGGCCTAGAGTTGCTAATATTTAAAAATGTCATTTCATTAAGAAATCTTTACTTAACAGAAGTTTCAGCAGCTGATCCTCCCAGTGCATGTGCACGGAAGTCAGTTATGGAGCAGTATGCTAACAAACTATATTACCTTGCTTTACTTCATCTTTGCCTTGCTGAGACACTGTAGTCATTGATGCTTGCAAGTTGTATCAGTAACAAGTAGAGCTGCCCAGAGAACAACAACTTTTTCTAAATTTGTTTTCATTCCACTTAGAGAAAACAAATTCTTTTGAAAGTTTTTGCAAAACAGAATTGAGTCAAAATTTCTGTTTTCAGATCAAAATCGCCAGGTTTTTAATTCAGTTCTCTTTGTCTCTGTGAGAGTCCACCATGGACCCCAGAAACCTTCCCGCCAAAAATATCATCAAAATTAGGATGTCTCTGCAAAACATTTCATCATCAACAAAACAGAATATTTGGTTGAAAAATCATTTAATCAAAAATATTGTAACCAGCTATACTAATGAAGAATAAGACAAGCGGTGCAACTGAAAATTTGCATCTAGAGTGGACATAAAATGTTAGTGCTGAGAAACGGAAAATAACCAAATACCTTGTGTTTATTGTAGATCTGGGATTCCTACTTTTACCTTGCTGTCATTTTTATAAACCAATTGTGTCTGCAACTGGAGATGTTCACACCTTCCAAGAAGAAAAAGGTGTTGGAAAAGTAAGTACCAGTCAGGTTCCATAAAATTACTGCAGATCAAACAATTATGTTTTAAAAAACAGGCTTTATGCAGCATATGGACCTGATCCAAAACCCGTTGAAGTAGATGAGTCTTTTTGCTTACTTTAATGGGCTTTGGATGAAGTCCTATGTGACTTCACAGTCCCCCAAGAATAAAATTGTTGACCCTAACAGCCCGTCAATGCCCACTGGCTGGGTGGCTCATAGCAGGCCTGATGCACTCACTACCCCAAACGCACTGTTGTGATATGTATTTAAAATATGTTTTGTTAGGTATTCTATGTAAACTGGTGGAAGGCTGGATTCAAAAATCATTTGTGTGATGTATATATGGGTTGTGTATAAAGAATTACATGTGTGCTGGAAATATGTTCTTAAAATGTGTTTGGGAGGCAGTGCATAAAACAAGCCTGCCCTAGACAAAGGAATGTGGATTCCCCTGTCTGACTGGCTCTATTACAGGCCGGGGACAATGAAAGTACATTTACATATAAATTAAACAAAGCCATCAAGCTAATGAGCGGCGAAGGGAGTCTGCACCCCAGGAAGCCTTCCTGGCTCTAGAAGAATAGACAGTGGATTTAGGGTAATATAAAGGGAGCTAAAAGACCTTTTAGTTATCCATCACTTAAGGGACAAAAGAGTCAGAGCTCTTGGAAACTGTGGAAGGTGATTCCTTCAGCCATGTGGGTTGAAGTGTATGGGAACTGACTATATATGAAAGCTTTGCCTGAGACCAGGATTGTAATTCGTTAAGCTTTAGACACTAGAAAGTGTGTTTTATTTTGTTTTGTTTGTAACCATACCTGTCTCTTTTTCTTTTGCTTAGCATCACTTATATCTCTGTTCTTTATTAAAAAGCTTATTCTTGTTTTATTACAAAACCATCTCAGTACTGAGTATTAAAGTAAAGTATGAGGCTTTAACACTAACAGACTAGTGTGTGCTCTGGCTGTTTGGAGGCAGTGAACTTGATGATGTCTGTGAGAATCACAGTGAGAGGGATTGGACACTGTAGAGAGACATCTCAGGAACTGGGTTGAGTGATTGTTACTTGTAAATCAAGGGTTAGGCTGGCAGAATCTCAAGGAGTTTGCTGATGAGGTAGACTGCGGTGTCTGACACCCCGTCTATTTCCAGCGAAGTTCACGCTTGCTGAGACAGAGCGGTAACACAGTGCCTTATCGTTCTGGGTGTCCAGAAAAGAACATCACAGGGTAAAATAAAATTATTAGTTATCTTGGGGGAAAGAGGAGGGAAAAAATCTGAGGCATATTAAGAGAATAGATTGGTATCACTACTTTGTTGTATCATTGTTACTGTTTGTAACATTTAGGGAGCTTGTACTAACAATATGTGGAAATTAATGTGTCTTTATGAAACAAGCCATTTGATTAGATATGTATTGGACATTAGCAAACTTCCTTTTTCCTTTTCTGTTTATACTACATCCGTCCAAAACTTGGGAAAAATCATTACTGCATGGAAATCTCACAGTTCATCTTGCTACACAGGAGCCTAAATTATAGTATGATCTTGTAAAATTATTTCCTAAATAATGTTATGCTTAAGTGTTTTTTTAAATATTTCACAGATATGGTGACATGCGGGTAACGATGGGATGTGAAATCTTCAGCATGTGGCAAAATTTAGGTAAGGAATTGAAAAAAAATCTCCTCAATAAAAATTAACAGTGAAACAAAGTAGCACAAAAAAGTTGAACAAAATTGGTAATGAATTTTAGTTAAGACTCCTGCATTATATTACTGGTTCTGCCGGTTTATCTGAGGCAAGCCACTACCTCTTTGTTTCTTGGTTTGTCCTGCTGGAAAACAGTTCTAATTCTTTTCAGAAAATGTTGAATTAATTGTTTGGATTTGCAAAGTGTTTTCAGATCCTTTGATGAAAGTAGTTTTGTTTGACATACACCAGTCCTCTTGATTGAAACTCACCTAATATTTTGGATACAAATGTTGACCACTAGGTCCAAAACCGTTTATTTCTTGAAAAAACTGAGAATGAACATAAAGCTCAAATCAAAGCATTATTATCATTGTGACGCCTTCTTTCCTCTATGAGAAACTGTTGTTTTCCAAGATACTGAAAGATAAGAAAAATCTAAATGATAGATTTCATTTTTTGACAATGGGGTTGCATTTGTACATACAAAAATTCTTACCTGTAAGGAAGCGTGTATTCCTCGTCTGGCCATCCCAGTAATTTGGGCACTCTTGTTTATTAATTAAAGCTATTCCTTTCTCAAAACCATCATCTTCCCATGACTTGTAAGTCAAAAATACCCACTGACAGGTAAAGTATCTGGGAGGAAAGTAACTCAGGAGAACACACCGATTGCTCACAGAACTCCTGCAGGGAGCCATAACAAAAACATCAGAGAAGCCAGGAGAAGGAACATCAGTTGCCGCTATGATCCAGCAGCAGCATCCAGGATCCAGAAGCTCTATCAGTCAAATGGCCCCAAGGCTCTGAGAAAGATCCTTGGCGGGCCCTCATCTTACTGCGCAATCCCGTCCGAGAAACTATTCTCGTACTTCAAGGTGTCCAGACCACATAGCTCAGAATGACACACAGCGTCTAGGATGCATTCATCCTCTACCCCAGACTGACTATTCAGGGGGCCTGGAAGAAGACTTTACATCACAGGAAGTGATGACCAGACTTACAAAGACCAAAAACACAGCTCCAGGAAAAGATGGCATTCACTGTAACTTCCTGAAAAAACGAGACCCCGGTTGCCTGGTATTAACTGCCATTTTAAACAAATGCAAACAGTTCTGCTGTCCTCCCAGCTCCTGGAAGAAATCTATGACAGTGCTCGTCTACACCAAGCAACTGGAGACCCATCTCTCTCTGTTCCACCATGTACAACTGTATGCCAGTGGCCTCGCAGCTAGGATCACAGACTGATCAGTGAACAGAGGAGCATCAGCTCCATCCAAAAAGGCCATCTTTATTCCACCAGCTTCTACTTGTTAAGGTTAAGGAGCATGGCAGGGCTCAGAAGGGGTCAAGCCAGTATGTTCAGCACTCCAACTGATCCTCAGACTGTGGAACATCTCACAGGGAAATTAGCTGGGGTGTATGTTGGATTGCAGAGGTTGAAAGTTGGCATTACGCCACCTATACCCCTTCCACTGATGTGCACTGAGCTCAGCTTGAAGATTGAGCCACCATGACCTGTATTTAATGTATGTCATTTCTAGTGTATTTTTCCTATTGTTTAGAAATATGAATGGAAGGCGTGTTGTGATCGGTGCAAGCTATATGAGGGCTGAAAGACCGATCGATCAAGGTGATCAAGGTTTGGAAATAAAAACACTTACAAAAAATTCAGATTCAAGTTCTGCGTGGCCTGCCACTGGGCCTCTGTCTCAGGGAAGCTTATATCCCCTCAAAGTGTAACATATCTCAATCCTTTCCTCAACAAACCCATCAATCCCATGAATTCAGGCTTCCAAGGTTCATCATGGATTGTTCAATGAGACCTCAGTCTAACCCCAGCTTGTTAGACCCTCCTCTTCCCCCCAGATACTGAGAAGTGCACCTTTGAGCACAATGGTTTCTGACTCCAGGACTGCTGAAGGCAGGTCAAAGACTCTAAGAAACAGGGGAGACCTGAGGCAGGTAAGACTAGATTCTCTCAAATGAAAAGTGAGAACTCTCCCTCTTAAGTCCTCATCCAAGAAGATGAATTATTTTCTGACACACCTCCACCCCGCCTTTAAGTTGGGTGAGATTCCTTGCACCAGTACAGGTGCACCAGGTGCTCATAAGAAGCATACCTGTCAGTGACTGGGATGTGGGCGGTCGAGCCTAGTGATTAGCACAGGAGTCTGACCCCGTAGTTAGCGCGGGTGTCGGTAGCCAGGAATTGGAGCCAGAGTCAAAGGCAGGGCTGGGTGCAAGACAGGAGCAGAGCTGGAACAAAACAGCAACCAACCTGAGAACAACCAGGTGTAGGAGCTACCTCAGAAGTGGCTGAATACTTTGAGTAGCTGTTGAACTGCTACTGCTGCTAGACTTAAGAGCCGGTCTGCTGACTATTGCAACCACTCTGGCAGTGTAGCCATTTAGGAAGCCTACTACATGCTATCTGTGCTCATTAGGTTGCCCAGAGATGGGAACTGCTGCAGGCCCTGATTCCTGACAATACTCGTTCCAGAATACCTAAAACTTGAAACTGCCAACTACCAAAGGGGCAGGACTATCCACAGCACCATCAAGGGAAAGAAGTGAGTGGATAATAAATGATTGGTACGCACAAGAGTGCTTCCATCCAAAAATCCTTCTCTTTGAGTACAAAGCACACATGTAAAGTAGTAATAATCTAGAGCACCCCAGAATATAGTTACCTAAAGTCTGAGATGGTGTTGAGTGGCATCAGCAGCAGATTTCTAGTGGCCATCCTTCCTCCTAGCCATTGGGGAGATTAATGTCAGTGTCTTCTTGCTCATAGAAAATCCAAACTTCTCCAAAGTACACTTTCTAACTTATCTTTTTATAGGTAACTCAAAACGAAGCATAACTCACAGTAACCCCTCATGGGCTGTTTCTCTAGCAACAGCAGAAAAACTCGTAGTTTCTACTTATCAACAAAGCAGCTATTACAAGAAACTTAGACACAAGCACCCAGACCAAGGTCAGCTATCCTTGTTAGTAACACTGCAGCTGTGCAAATGTTTTTGTCTGCCTAAGTAAGGCCAAATTCTTTCTCATTAGGTGGTGTCCTCACTTCCAGCTTATGGTGGCTAAGTGCACAAGATGGCTGCGGGTTATGTCAAATCCAGTTCTCTCAGAAGAACACCAATGGTACCAACTTGCAGAGAAAAGGAGTCATTGGTACTGAAAGCTGATGTAAGTAAGCCGGCACATCTGGCACCACCAAGGGACAGAAACCCTATCCATTATCCTCCATCAGGGGGTAGATACATTATCCCGGAGGACCTTACCATCTCTGCAAACCCAGAATTGCCAGTGGTGTAGGATCCAGTCCTATCCAGAATGGTCCACACATCATCAGCTTGCCACTCACAGTATCGTTGACTTGCTAGGACATAGTTAGACCACACGGCACCACATGCATTGACGTAGAGGCTTCTTTCTTCTCTGATGAATGTGGGATCAGCTGGAGAACTTCACAGCCCTTGTCGAGATAGGAAGTCACCCCTGACAGAGGCTTCAAAAAATCATGGGCACCTTCCCACTCCTACAAGCAAGAGAGACTAACCAACCCGGGACCGATGGTACTCCTCTCCATGAGCATAGGGTGCTCCAGGGCTCAAGCACCCACAGAAAAAAATAGGGCCAGATTAATCTTTTATGGACCCCAGTGCCTGGACCATAGCCCCGCCCCCTGCTCCACCTGTACTCCACCCCGAGGCTCCAACCCCACTCAGCCTCTTCCCCCTGAAGCCCCGCCGCCACTCGCATCGGGGGAAGGGTGAAGAGGAGCACCCACCAGCAAAAATAAGTCAGTGCCTTTGTCCAAGAGGATCACCTCATTACACCTGTGATGCCTCACACTAGGTTTCTGAGATCCATATATAAGACATTATGACTACAGAAGATCAGAATGGAGTCAAGATAGTCATCCCCACATGAGGAAGAACTTCAGCCCACTCAGGTATGCTCTGAGGAAGAGGAGCAATCTCACCAGGTTGAGCCACCAGCCCCTGCACGTGTATCGTTGTCTTCACCAGATAAAGTGATCACACCTGCTTCACCATCACCACCTGATGGCTATAGGCAATGCTGGGACCTCCTAAGGGGAGACACTCCAGAACTACCTGAGGAAATTACAGGACACCCCTCATAAGCTACTGGATATCTTCCAGAACATGGGTCCTGGTGAGATTGCTCTGCCAGAAAAAAGGTCATCTTAGAACTGCCATTTGTCTGTACCCCATCCACAAAAGGATTGATTACAGATATCTCCTTGCCAGGTTGGGAAGCCCACCTCTACAGACAGGGTACCTGGACCCACTAAGAATCCAGTTGCACATACATTTTCTGGATCTGTGTGCAGTACACGAAGCCTGCAAACAATTCCTGCTGTTTATTCAGAACTTTCATCGTCAGATCATGTCAAACAACATGACAATAGTTTATTATATTAACAAACAGGGAGGAGCGAGGTCTTTCCTTCTCTGAATAGAAGCTGCCTGTCTCTGGAACTGGTGCATTCACCAAAAGATCACCCTCTCAACAAGGGAACTACACAACTTGGTGTAAAGAGCATCTTTCTTGTTGTGGGAATCACTTTGTGTCTCAAGAGAACAAGAAATGTCCAAATAATGCCCACCACCAAGGTGACTCACAAGCAGTATTCATTGAGGAGGAGCGTATAAGGAACCCTGCTGTATCACAGACTGGAGGACTGCTCTGCTGAAGGACACACCTACTGTAGAAGCTTATTTGATTTAACTATACCTGTACAAGTGGATTTATTCTGGATGCATGGCTTGAGTTTTCTAAGGCCTGGAGAAATGGATTTAGTTATTTAAAAGTGTACAAAGTTCATTTATGCACCTTACAGTTAATATAAAAGGAACAATAATTCATGTTAATTTCCTAATCCAATTAATTAACAAACCTTATGCAACCAAAGAATGATTTAATAAATACTTCTGTAAGTTTGTTGTAGAGTTTTAATCATTAGAGGTTTGATTTCCCATCTGTGTAACTCTAGCTAAAGTCAATGGAGTTACGCTGATGTAAATTGGAGAAACACAATGGTGAACCAGGTGCTGGCGGTGTATAAGGTGATTACTTCAGTTGTACATAGACATTTGATAAAGCATCATATTCTAAAGGGGTTTTGCTCTTGAATTTGATAGTTAACTATGGAATAGATATTCAAAAATAGCGAGGTGACCTAGGAGCAAAAGTCCCATTGAAATGAATGAAAATATATAACAAGCAATTTTCAACTTACATTGGAACTAATGCTCCTAAATGACATAGGTGCTTTTGAAAATCTCTCTCTCTACAAAATTTGTCTTTTCTTTCACCACAATTGTTCTTTGCTGTTTCCCCCTTCTCAACCTCTTTGCATGTCTGGCAATTGTAATAGACCAGAACTCTCAAAAAGATCCAAAAGATCTTTCTGCAAGTGACAGAAGCTAAATAATTCAAAGCTATGGGTAAATCTCCTAATTTAACTTCACCTCCTTGTGCAACATATACTATGGGGTATGTAAATTTACCTACTATCTGGAGACCCTCTACAACATCTAAGTAGAACATAGTGAGTTAATGGCAGAGGCATCAGCTTTTTTTCTAAAGAGAAACATTTTGAGAAAAACAGTCCAAGAATCCATTTTTTGCAAGCAAAATTTATACTCCCATTTCTGTGCCCCCAAAATGAAGGGTGGCTGCAAATCTGAGTACTTGTGCCTCCATCTAATGTGAATATGCTTTCAAGTAATAAACCATATTTGGAGACACAAAAATGTAGGAGCAATTTGTACCTGCAAAAGGGAAAACCTTTTTGCAAAAGATGCCCTAAACATTCTGGTTCTTAAAGTAGTCTTAAATAAAGCAATGCCCATTGAACTTCTCCCTCTTCCCCTGCCAAAAAAACAGCATCAGGAGTAAACAACCCAACATCATTCATGAACTTCATTTTAAAATGTCATGCATCAGGCTGATCCTCTATTTGGCTCTTTTCTGTGGCTTTTCCTCTTCCTTTACCTGGTGGTTGTTTGAGAAATAGCCCATGCCAGGCATGCTATCAGCCAACCAAACTGTAAACATTTAGAATGCCATTTCATAATTCTTCATACAGTATTGTTTAATTTGGATCATTTGGTAACTCACCCAAGAGTGAACCCAATTCACATTCAGCTTCCTTTTAATTTTAGGGGAACATAAACTTCACTTCATCCCAGCTCTCATTGGCCCCTTCTTAGAAGTGACACTGATACCTCAGCCTGACCTGCGGAATGTAATGATTCCCATTTTCCATGACATGATGGATTGGGAACAAAGGCGCAGTGGCAACTTCAAACAGGTAACGTGTGTAAAGCTGTTTAGCAGGGAAGATTGACATTAAGATTTTTCTCAGGCAGCCTTGGCACTGAACTATTAACTTGTTAGCAGAATCTGTGATGGAGCAGATGGAGAAATGAGAACCTTCATTTGAGGGAAGATGGTAGAATTCTAGGCTAATGGCTCTTGAAGACCCTTTGGCCCTCTAAGCGCTCCATGTGTTTGTTCAATATTTTGGTGTGGCTAATTTAAGATGGGGATGGGGTATTCTAGCCCCATTGAAGTCAATGGCAAAACTTCCTGTTGGGGTTGTTTTATTTTTCTACTTTAGTAATATAAATTGGGGGGGAAAAGATAATGAAGAAGAAACTCAAGAACGATACAGTGATGGCTTACTGACATAATGTCTGATATCTGCTTGCCCAGCCATCAAAAGACTGATTTTTATGAGAAACCAAGTTCTGCAAGTATCCAACTATTCTTGCCTCCCAAGTACTAGCTTAGGCATCAAGTAAGGAGCTGCTAAGTATACCATCTGCTCTTTCAGCTCCCACTCAGTTCTTTCAGGCTGCCTCAAACGTCTTCACTGTGCTCTGCTTCCTGCTGTTTCAAATGAAGCAAAGCAGAAGTATTTGAATTAGTTTCAGGCAATAATAAGGATTGGAGTGGGAGCTGTAGGAGCAGTTGGAGTACTTGGAAACACAAAACAAACTATGCGAATGGAGAAGCATGTGATGTAAGTGGTTTTTTTCCGTCACATTTTTTAAACACGTTAAAATAATTGTAAAAATGTTGATGACTAACTGAAAAACAGATTCTGCATAAGCAAAGCACTGACTTTCTGATTCTCTCTGTATTGATCATTGGCTTAAAGGTACACCGTAATTATGAGTCATGATTTAATAGAGCACTTCAATAATAGACTAGTTTCTCCTCTAGTTTTTCAGTCACTAAGTATCTCTATTGCCAGAGGGGAGGTTATTCTCTTTTGATGTATTAATAAACAAAGCAACCTTGTCTACATTTTCTCAATAATCAATACAGGTACAAATATTTTATGCAATGATTCTAAGCTATAAAACCTTTATTCTCCAACTCTTCTTGACAGATGACTCGGAATTTCAGTGCATCTGCAATATATACATTACATTGGAGTCAGGGTAGGTTTTCAATAGCAGCAGGAGTAACTATGAGCCCAAACTGTTAATCCCCGGATTTAAAGAGTGGGATGTGGGAATCAGAGAGAGTTGGTTTTATATTAAGGTCCAAATAATGACTTGCTCTTGCAGCCCTGCAGTAAGAATTCAGGCAGTCTCGTTGGGCTGCATGCTTTTTTGTTTGACTCTATAAATAGATAGCTGCCTTAGCAGCAGCAAGTGCTACTCAGCCTGTAGTTTTAGAGTCACATTGCTTCATTTAAATTAGTCCAAAAAAATCCTCAGGGATAACAGAAGATGAAGTAATCTATCCTGAAATTTACATTTCTTAACGATAATACTAGGGAATCCATTTAACAAAACCTCTTACAGAAAAAATCCTTTTTTTTTTCCAATTTGCTCAAACCTAATTTAAGTACAAAGAAGCCTTTTATATGCATATGTTCCAGGTGGAGGCAAAACTGATTGACAAATTGGATAGCTTGATGTCCGAAGGCAAAGGTGACGAAACGTACCGAGAGCTCTTCAACAGCATGTGAGTAATAAATTGGTTTTTAATTCATTCATTTGTTCAGTTTGATGGATTAGCTGCTAAATATCATTGTGGACAAAAACTGCAGAAAGAGCTGTGATCTCGGAATGCTTTGTCTTTTCTGAAACCTGTGAAATAAAGGCTAGTTGCCTAAATAAAGTAATGTATCTTATTGTATCTTTGATGACTAGTTGTGCCTATGTTATACCATAAACTGTTCTCTATTATCACTCATACTAATTTTAAAATCAGAAAAGCCAAAGATGCTTAGTAGGTGGGTGGGATGCAGTTAGAACATGAATTTTGTACATCGCATTTGTCAAACATGAGCTTAATAAATAGCTGTTTGTTAAATCATTCTCATAACTGATCAAAATTTGCTATTATCCAAATAATGTTTCACTTGTTGATTTCCTGATGGATTACAGAATGACTGATTAGAATTATTATATGAGATTAATCTTTTTACAAATGATTTTTAGATATTGCATATGTTTTAATAATTGGCATGTCATTGGTTCATAACATTAAAATCTAATGGTGAAAGAGGACAAATGCTTCCTTGATAATGAAACTCCTAGGACTGCCCATGTGTTATCCCTGCTGACTGAAATTGGTGACCATCACGGACACAAAAACATGAACTGATTTTTTTCCCCCCATTTCAACTCCAACTATGTGGGAGACCTATTTGTAGTCACTTTAGAACAAGATATATTATTCCTCCACTGGTTTCCATTTTATATGTGTATTTCCCAGTGCTATTACACATACAGTATTTTTTCTTTATTAGGTTTCATCCTTTTTAAGTGGAAGGGAAAAGTGATATTTTAGCTTTATTGCTCTAAAATTAAAAACAATTGCATTTATGTCTTTTTGTTGGTACAAATGCCAAGCAAATAATACTCTATAATTCCATTGTGGGGGGAAAAACCTATAATACCAAAAGAAATGCTTTTGCCCACAACATACAGAGAAGGAAAGAGAAGTTTATCAGGTGAAATTACAGCTGAAGAGTATAGTAAAAGATAATTTGTGTAGTAATCATTCTTTAAACATTAAGATAGATCAAGTAAAAATAATAAAAGCTAAGAAAATTTTCAGAGATTTTAATAACAATGTAATGTGATTTTAGGACAACAGCATTAAAGGAGAAGTTCTTTTATGAAGTTATAAAGCCTGCATTTACTCCAGTGCACAAGCGTGTCATTCACTGATTGAAATGACTTCTAGTGATCTCAGAAAATATATTGGTATCTGAAATATAATTCTTGAAAAAGCTGAGTGCTGATTTTGAGATAGATTTTAAAAAGGTAGTGGAAGAATGGGTAAAGCATTTTCTAAACCCAGTTATTTAAGAATAATTATGTGTAATTTTAAGAAGTCTCATAGTACTTTTCCTGACTGGAGGGGCATAGGTGCATATGGATCTAAAATGGAGGACACTACTGTAACACGTGATTTGAGAAAAGGAATCCTGAAAATGTTAAAAGCTTTGTAGTCATTATTTCAAGGGATCAGATTCTTAGTGTCAAGGAGTCTGAGATTTTCTTCCATCATCAGTTTAAGCAGCTATTATTGGAGGGTTTTGACACATGCCTCCTTGATTTAAAAATAGTGCGCATATGACTAGACTGAGGTGATAATAAAATGATGTGCACATTAGTTCAAGGAAGTGGAAAGCACCAGCACAGTTTTCAAGCAGTCATAGTTTTGTTTTGGGAAATGGAACTACATTCATTTTACATGATCAAACATGAGTCTTCAAATTGCCCCCTAATAATTTTTAGTAGTTGTATGACTGTATGGAGTCATGGGGACACAGATAATCCTCATGCATTGTCTGGACACAGCATATCAATTTAAATAGTATTTGAGTGTTTGTCCTGTTCTCTCTCTCTCTCTCTCTCTCTCTCTCGATAGCATGAATCAGAAAACAGTATATCTCCACGTTCCCAGGTTAACTTAATTTTTTGGAGCAATCCATAAGCACTTTTCCACTGAAGACACATCATGCTTTTATAGTCAAATTATAGATGTCATTGGACATCTTTAAAATGTTGTATGTTTGGGATTTTGATGTTTCTAATGAAATATCCTATAAAATGCAAAGGAAGAAACATTGCTGCTATTTATCTTTTGGCAGGCATCATCCAGGGAGATTTAGAAGTGACCAGAGGGTAGCTGTCTCACAGTCACCAACATGTCATTACTAAGGCTCAGATTTTGTCAAGGATATTTTTAGTAAAAATCACAGACAGGTCACGGGCAATAAACAAAAATTCATGGAAGCCCGTGACCTGTCTGTGATTTTTACTAAAAATATCCCTGACGAAATGGGGAGGGAGGAGTGTCCAGCACCCACAGCGCCTGGGGACTGTGGGGTCCCCTTGCCCTCCCCCTGCCCGTCAGCGGCTGAATCGCTGCAGAGTCTCACTGCCCACCATGGCTGGGCAGCTGCAGGGAGCCCCCCAACCCGTGGGAGCTCCAGGGTCCCCCCACCGCCCATAGGAGCTCCCGCTCCAGGGGACCCCCCTGCCCGCAGGAGCTGGGAGCTACAAGGTCCCCCTGCTGCATAGCAGCTAGGAGCTGCCGGGGACCCACCCAGTCTGAGGGCTGCCTGCTGATAGTTCCAGCCCCAGGGCAGAGAATGTCACGGAGGTCTCTGGAAGTCACGGATTCTGTGACTTCCGTGACATAATTGTAGGGCTTAGTCATTAATGAATGGTACTAAAGAGGGGGAGCCGTAAATGTTTCGTTGTGATTAAGGGCCAGTTGCTGTATTTGCTGCTTAATATAATCCAGACAAAAAAAGAACCCCTGATCTCCCTTTAAATTGTTAATCTGAAATTAAAAACAGTTGAGGGTTCTAACTGAATAACATGGAAATACATGTTTGTTTTACAAAAAGAGTGACAATTAGAACAAAATCTTTGTGTTGTGCGGCACAGTTGCTCAGATCAGAAGCTTACTTTTAGTTTTTAAGTAATGTATGCCTTTTACACAGGCCCTTCCTTTCCCAAAGCCTCTCATGCTAAATAATGTGTAGAAAATTACTGCAACCTTCTGAACTTACTGGGCAAGCCATTCATTTTTATATGGTATGCATTGCAAACCGCAACTGATGCGCTCCAGTGGTATTAAACTAGAGGGCCACACATCATAGAGGGCCAGCTTATTGTACATGTCAGGCACTCCTGGTATCTCCCCATTCTCCCACAAGGTCCTTGTGAGCCACCCTCCCATCCCCTTCTATTTCAGGGACTCCCTGCAGCTCCCCATCCCCTCCTTCATGCCAGGGTTCTGTGTGTCTCCCATTCCCTCCTGCCAGGGACATTGTATGCTGCCCCATTCCCTCCTTCTCCATTTCCCTCCCCCAGTGCCAAAGGCTTTGTGTGCCCCCATGTCTCCACTCATCCCATGCCAGGAACTCTGTGTTCTCCTCCTTGTCCCACTGTGTTCCCCCATTCCCTCTCCCTCCCGGACCAAGTCCCCCATTTTCTCCCCATGCCAGGGGTTCTGTGTGTCCACCCCGTTTCCCCTGCCTTTCATTTCCCTATGCCCTACCAATCTTATTTCTTTTCTTTCTGTCTTGGTCATTCAGGATGTCAACATTTTAAACTATGTTAGGCTGATGGTAGAACTGAGATGGGGTGTTGCTATACTGGAAGAAGTTAATGCCTACCATCAACCAATACTTTGATCTATAGACCATTACCAAGTGATTGAAGTTGCTGGGTCTGCTAAGCAGATGCCAGGAGTTCCATCTGTCCCCATTTCCCTCTTCCGGTTTTCTGAATCTCACCAAAATCAACAGGTTTACCTACTGATGCCTACAACAGACCCTGAAATTCTGGAATTGAGTTGTTGCAGCATTCAGAAGTTATTGCGTTAGAGAGAGACTTGTCGGATAGTAATGCCTCACATGCTCAACCAGTAAATTTAGAGGGAGAAGCCTGAGTAGTGTAAGCTTGAAGCAGGATTGACGTCTGTCACGACCAGTGGTCAGGCCTACTGGCTGGAGCCAGGAACCAGAACCAAGGGTCAGAGTCAGGAATCAGGAGTCAAGCCAAGTGTCAGAGCCATAGGCAGGAGCAAGCAGGAAAGTGGGGCTAAAGTGGATTGGAGCAGGTATGTTACAATTGAAAAAAGTACAGAGAAGGGCAACAAAAATAATTAGGGGTGTGGAACAGCTGGCATGTGAGGAGAGATTAAAAAGACTAGGACATTTCAGCTTGAAAAAGAGATGACTAAGGGGAGATATGATAGGGGTCTATAAAGTCATGAATAGCGTGGAGAAAGTGAATAGGGAAGTGTTATTTACCCCTTCATATAACACAAGAACCAGGTGTCACCCAATGAAATTAATAGGCAGCAGGTTTAAAACAAACATAAGGAAGTATTTCTTCACACAATGCACAGTCAACCTGTGGAACTCGTTGCCAGGGGACGTTGTGAAGGCCAAGTATAACTTGGTTCAAAAAAGAATTAGATAAGCTCATGGATGATAGGTCCATCAATGGCTATTAGCCAAGATGGTAAGGAACATAACTCCATGCTCTGTGTCCCAAAGCCTCTGATTGCCAGAAACTGGGACTGGATGACAGGGGATGGGAATCACTCAATAATTGCCCTATTCTGTTCATTCCCTCTGAAGCACCTGGCACTGCCCATTGTCAGAGGACAGGATACTGGGCTAGGTAGCCATTGGTCTGACCCAGTATGGCTGTTCTTATATTCAGGACAGGAGCAAGATTAGAACCAAGGCAGGCACAGAAGTGATAGTGGCTGTGGGCATACACATTGAGCAGCCAGCAACCCTGCTGCTGCTACTGCTGAGCTTAAACGGCCTGCTGCTGGCTCCCCTCAGCTAATCAGGTGGGCCAGTCAATTAGTCCATCCTACCACAACCCACCTGAACTCATTAATCTGCCTGGAAGCAGGGCTGGCTAATCCTCAAATTCAGCTGAAGGAGCTCACTCCTGGCAACTAACCTTCAGTGCCCAAATCAGGTGGGGAAATATCAATTCTTTCATCAATAAGACCTTAATATGGCAAAGTGGTTGTGTACAAGTCTAGCTAATACCAGGATTAAGAACTGTGTGCATTCTTCCACACTGTGTGCATAAAGTCCTGTGTCTAACAAGAACTGAATGATGAAAGCAGGCATTCTCCAGGTCAGACAAAAATGGGGAGGGGCTGGAAAGCAGTGATAAAAAGATCACAGAGAAGAGGTATTAAAATAGTGTGCACAGAGTTTCTGATACAACATGCAGGAGAGAACAGAAGCTTAACTGAAACGCCAGTCATCTCTCTCAAATTCTATCTTGATCTTGCCGTTATAAGCCTGGGGATGTGTTTGAGTGGCTCTTTTGTTATGAATGTTTTCTCTGTGCATTATCTGTGAAAGATGAATGATGCAAAAGAGGAGTCAGTAAGCTGTCAAATTGAAGAAAGCAATTTGTTTGTTTGAATAAAGACATTTAATATATTCATACATTCTCAAGTAGAAGCTGTAGTGTGTGTGTGTGTGTGTGTGTGTATATACAGCTTTTTATATATATATATATATATATATATATATGAGAACTTATGTAAGTCAGATATACAATAGACTCATCCTTTCTTAGAAAAGTTAGACTTCTGCAGTTTTTAAAAGCATACTAAATATTCTTGTTTTTAAATTTAGTTTGAAATAATCTCATTTAAAGTAAGGTTGAAAAGCAATGTGAAGAGACAAATGTGGTCAGTATTGTCTTCTAGCTATACAATAGTCTTGATTCTCCTCTTGCTTCTTACATACAAAAATTGGTGTTAAAAGAATGTTATGGTGCAAAGATAAGTATTCCAAAGTTAGGAAATGCCAGAATTAAGTTTGCCCATGCATTCATTCTGAAAAGCAGTGTGGCTAGTGAAAGAGACATGGATTTGCCATATTATAATTCTAAGGTTCCCTTCTTTGAAATTGGGAGAATGATACCTGTCTGCCTCCTAAGATAGAGGTGTGAGGCCTTGCTCAATGATATGGGGTGTGAAGTGCACAGAAGTAGCACCAAACAGTGGTAGGTCTCCTCCTAACTCCCAGCCCTGTATACCCTCCCCTATGTCAAAGTATAGGGAGCACTGTGTTATAGAGGAGTTTGAATGAGGCCTGAGACCATGCTCAGTGAAGCTGGTATACAAGAGTTCTGTGGGGCTGAGCATGCTCAGTGTAGTTGAAGGTGAGTGGAGCTGGCCGCCTTCCCACTGCAGATAGAAATGTTCTGAGATTTTGCCTATTGAGCATGTGCAAATAGCAGTTTTTTGAGGCTCCTAACTCAACCAAATATTCATGGATTTTCATGGGGACAGGATCCACTATCATGCCAAATTCTAAATCTGTGTACCAAAGCACAGAGGCCCTAGAGCTCTTCAAATAAATGGTTGGGAAAAATGTTTTAGCATTGACAAAACCTCCTATTTTACCCAAACCCTGGTCTCTGAAGTGGCTGAACAATTTTTGCTGAAAGTTTAAAAAATCTTAGCTTTAGGCAGAGAGGAAATGTGGAAAATTTGATTCCAAATGGTTAAAACTTGGCAGCATTATAAGCAACCAAAACCAGGGGTTTATAAAAGAAAGTATTAGGGCACCTTCATTATAAGTTTCAGAGTAGCAGCCGTGTTAGTCTGTATCCGCAAAAAGAACAGGAGTACTTGTGGCACCTTAGAGACTAACACATTTATTAGAGCATAAGCTTTCATGGGCTACAGCCCACTTCTTCGGATGCATATAGAATGGAACATATATTGAGGAGATATATATACACACATACAGAGATTTGTGTCCATTAATTCTTTTGCGTAGAGACTGTCCGGTTTGGCCAATGTACATGGCAGAGGGGCATTGCTGGCACATGATGGCATATATCACGTCAGCCATACCATCAGGGGCTCGTTCACCTGCACATCTACCAATGTGATATATACCATCATGTGCCAGCAATGCCCCTCTGCCATGTACATTGGCCAGACCGGACAGTCTCTACGCAAAAGAATTAATGGACACAAATCTGACATCAGGAATCATAATACTCAAAAACCAGTGGGAGAACACTTTAACCTGTCTGGTCATTCAATGACAGACCTGCGGGTGGCTATCTTACAACAGAAAAACTTCAAAAACAGACTCCAACAAGAGACTGCTGAGCTGGAATTGATATGCAAACTAGATACAATCAATTTAGGATTGAATAAGGTCTGGGAATGGCTGAGCCATTACAAACATTGAATCTATCTCCCCTTGTAAGTATTCTCACACTTCTTATCAAACTGTCTGTACTGGGCTATCTTGATTATCACTTCAAAAGTTTTTTTTCACTTACTTAATTGGCCTCTCAGAGTTGGTAAGACAACTCCCACCTGTTCATGCTCTCTATATGTGTGTATATATATCTCCTCAATATATGTTCCATTCTATATGCATCCGAAGAAGTGGGCTGTAGCCCACGAAAGCTTATGCTCTAATAAATTTGTTAGTCTCCAAGGTGCCACAAGTACTCCTGTTCATTATAAGTGTCACTGTCAGTTCCCATACAATATTACTTTTACCCCAGGAAATCTGTTCACTTCAGTGTGTAATCCTAATTTACCCTAGTATAAGGGAGAGGAGAATTAGGCACAGTACATTTACCACTCAAAATCCTTTGGTTATTTAATATTTAAAGGAATGAAACTATCAGTGTATAAATGGTATGTACTGAGTGGGCAAATGTTAAGTTAAAGGAGAATTTTTTTAAAAACCACCTCTCAGTAAAAAGCTTTTCCTGTAGCAATTACGCTACAGTTAAACTGTGTGGGTGCAGAACTATTGTAGAATGAGTGAGGAAAAATCTGTGTTAACAAGTTGGAAGTCCCATTGAAAGGGAATTTTGAAATGCTCGATGTTCTTTTCTAGGTAATAGTCTTCAGTAGAATGGAGCAAAATTTTTCAGTCAAATAGTACATTTGCCAGAAAATGCAGTTTTGGGGAGACTGAAACTGTGAATTCAGGTTGAATTCGGTGAATAGTTTTGGCTGAATAAAAAAATAAAAGGAAAAATTTGGAAAAAGTCAAGTTTGTTTTGACATTTTCTAAATGAACAATTTCAATATTTCATTTCTAATTGACATTTAATTTAGAACATGTCATTTTGAATGGACCTAAACTAAATGTTTTTGTTTTTTAATTTAATCGAGAAAACCTAAAAAATTTCAGTTTCTATTGGAAACAAATCAATTATTTTGCATATATTTTGGTTTAGCTACTGACCTGGAAAATCAGTTATTCACTCAGCTCTAGTCTTCAGTTTCTTTCTATTTTCTGAAGTGTTAGCATGTAACCCATGCAGTTAGCATGTAATGAAATCTAAGAACACACAAAAAATGTTATAAATCTGGGAATGTATTAAGGTTTTAAAATGTTTATACATTTTATAAATCTGATTATATTTGTATGTGTTTTGGTTTTGACATGGCTAACCTAGAAATCCATTTGCTTTGTCAATGCTTCCTGGATTAGAATTCCACTCTTTGGTCCCTATCCTAGGTAAGATATTGTTTGTAAATTGTACTGATTGTGAGAAGAGTTCAAAATTAAATCTGTGAATATTGCAGACATTGCCAAGGCATTTAAGATACTGTTGAAAGTAAAGTGGTTGCCATGGTGACAGATAAAAATAAATGTTGAAATTGCTTTGGGTTTGTTCTTTCCAGCCTCCTGAAGAAAATTGAGCGGGAAACGTGGAGAGAAAGTGGTGTTTCATTAATCGCCACTGTAACTCGACTAATGGAAAGGTTACTGGACTACAGGTGAGCAATTGTCACATGATATATATTGAGAATATGGAAGTATTCAAAGTTCTGACAACAAAATTATCCTGCAGGTTTTGATAACTGGAACATGGAGACTTTCACCACTAGGTTACCGGTTCAAATATGCCTCTGGGTTGGGAGTGACCAAAAGTCATCATCTAACAGCTGTTTCACAGCCTAAGTGAAATCGTTATTAATATTATTTCAGTAGTGCCTAGAGGTACCATCCAAAATTAGGCCCACTGTGGTAGACACTACAGGTACATATAACAAGAGACCATTCCTGGCTGAAGAGCATAAATCTAAATAGCACAGACAGAGGAGGGAGAAAGGAAGTATCATTACCCTCATTTTTATAGATGGGGAACAGAGGCACAAAAGATGACTTGCCCAAGATCACCCAGGAAGTCTGTGACAGAACCAGTAATTGAACCCAGATCTCTTGAGTCCCAGTCCAGTGTCTTAACCTCCAGGGCTAATATTGTGTTTCCAGACCCTAAGGGAAAGGTCCACCCATCAAAATCTATCACAGTTGTCATTCTTATTTACAGTTTAAGAGAAAAGCTGAAGGATTTAGTTGTCATGGAGACTGAACTCTTAACTTCTAGATAAATGCCAGTGCTACATCTCTTCTGTGGATAAATAGAACTTCAATCTCCTGGATTGTCAGTCCAGCACCTTTCAAAGCACTGCATTCACTGGCAGTTTTATTTTTCCTTAGTAACTGTGTGGGGGTAATGTCCATCATTTTAATGCAAGGCTGTCACGCTTATACTGTTTTTCTTCATGTGTTGTCATTAGCGGCCCTAAGTAGTTTTATCTTAACTTTTGATCTAGAGTCGGGATATACAGCCTGTGCAAGCAAGAAAAAGGAGACATAAGGGCAAACACATCTGGATCTGCTTTCTGGCAGTGCAGAATGCCCTGAGGCTGTATTGTTTTAATTAGTTTGCTTCTACTTAATTCTGTTTTATGAAATGTGTTCCTAGTTCAGAGGGGGGAAACTGTATTGTCCCACAGTGCAGATGTTCTGACTTTTGTTACATTTTATTTTTAGGGACTGCATGAAAATAGGAGAAGTGGATGGTAAAAAGATTGGCTGCACCGTTAGCCTGTTGGTTTGTATAATAACCTTTATCTCTTTTATACTCAAGCAATTAACCTTACATAATAAAAATCTATACATTGTATGAGAAGTATATTTTTACTAACCTACTTCTCAATGCACACTGCACTCCAAACAACAGGTGTAATTAATGCCAGTGAATTCAGAAAATACATTTATACCATCAAATATGGATGATATTTAAATACATACTGTTATAGTTCACTATAATATAATTTGATGGTATGACTACAAGTTGCTGATATGATACAATAGCTAGAGCCTGATAGACTAGGATAAAGTTCAGGATATTTCAGAATGAAGTTGATACAGTTTTCTTGTGCTTTTCCCTCAGTGTTCATAGTGAGAATCCCCCTAGTATCAGCTCATAGGAGTTTAATAAATCTTACTAGAAAGTAACTTTCAAAGAAAATTCAAACCAAAGATTTGTACATTCCTGTAAATCTGATTAGTTTCTGTGGCTTTTTTAAAAATACACAACAAAACTCACCTGGATTCCTACCTCTGTCCTCTCCTTTTCCCAACAACAGGCCTCAGCTACTCTTATATATGAAAAATATCTTTTGAGGAGTTGTTCTACCAATTCCCCTCTCAATAGAACTAGAAAGTGTTCCTCTGGGCCTGCTGTTCTCACTTTTGATGGGTCTTTATCTCATTTTAGGTTTGAGATATACCCTCCCACCATCCAATATCCCAAGAATGTACTGTGCAAATTGTGAATCCGTATTAATATTATTTTCTATTAATTATTGCCTATTAGTGAGGTGCGTTTTGATCCTAGGCCAAGATTCATTGAGAGGCTTTGAACTTCTGTGAACTTCAGAAATTTTCAAGTTTTGTTATGAAACCATGCAACTGTGCTGTTTTAAGTGGTAACTGAGAATTATAGGGCACAAAGACTAATCTAATTATCAGTTATTCCTGGAGAAGTTTTTGAACGATAAAGGATTTCTTCTATATGAGCACAATACTTTCAAAATAGGAACGGTATATGTAACTTGATTATAGGACAACTTGCTTACTACCAGGTTACCCTGGTTTAAAAGGAAGTAAAAACATTTGGTTATTTGCATTCTAAAGTCAATTTTTACTACAAGAAATGACCCATAATTTGTATAAAATGAACACACACACAAATAGAGCAAAACAAACATGGAATACTCTAACAGCATCCTTGAACGGGATTTCACAAACTGTAGTGATCTCTTGTCAGGCTAAGAAATATTTTGTGATTCCCTCCACCGGGAAAACTGAAGCCTAACAATCAGTAGGCAAAACTATGCATCTCTAACATACCCCAAGAATTAACTAATTTTAGTGTGAAAGGTGAACCTTTATTATGCAGAAAGTACACAAATTTTAAAACACTATGGTGGATGATGCTCTCAGAAGATGTTCCGTGCAAAGTTAAACTGGGGAAATATGCTGATTTTAATCACTGTCAATCATCAGGAGGCAATGGTACTTCATTTTTATCGGCACCATTGAAAAGAAACCTGACTTGCAAAAGCAGGAGGGTGGAAATGGCGTGGAAATTGAGCTTTCAGGGTCCATACTGAACCTAGGTCCTACACCTCCAAAGAAATATCCAAAATCTGCTGCGTTCCTGCCTAGAGAAAGTCCACTGCAGCATCTTGTCACAGGAAAGGTGTCTCATTTTGCCTTACAGTGACACAGTCAGTGCTGCCATGTCAATTGTACCTTGGATGAAGGAATTAGTAATCCACTTATTTCCCTTCTTCTCCACTCCCAAAGTTCTCTAAAATTCTGATGGTTCTTGACCAGCTGCCCCTTTCCCTTTGTGAATAGTGAAACAAGGAAACAGCTACAAATTTCTTTTTTGTGCCCAGGAAGGCCAATTTCCAAGTTTCTGATGAGTGTTCCCACCCTAATGTTCAGTATAGTTATATTCCAACCACAGAGAAGGTTTCAGCTTGCATAAGTGCCCTGAGATGTCAGCACAATAGGCTAACATGCTACACAAGATGAATTTCTGAAGATTGCTGAGGGAAGCCTGCACTTCTGCTCTTAATCTGAAAAGTCAAATTGTCACTCAACTGCATGAGAGCCACCCCACTTCAGCTTGCAAGAGAAGTTGCTGGTGAAATAAATTCATGTCTAACACAGAGCAATGCAAAAAGTCAAGAATTTACTGGATGGCCTTTAATGAAGCTTGCTCCTTCAACAGCTTCGTGAAGGATTAGGAATATTTTTTCAAACATTTTCTTAGCAGCAAGAGTGTGACTGATACACAAAATTGTAAAGTCATGCATCATTAAGTGTAGTGTTTTGGTTTCATGTGACCAGACTACTATTCTTAAACCTCACTGACTTGATACTATCCATGTAGATTATAATACACCATTCCCGCTGAATGTGGAAATTTTGTACTGCTTCCTAAAATGTCTCAGATTACCATTTTTCGGTAGTGCACACTGTCACAGCTTTACAGCACAGCAAGTTGTCTTCAGCAGAATCATCGGTCTGACGAACCCTAGGAGCTACGTCACACCAGACACGCTGTTTGACTCATCAAGTTGAATCGCTAAGTGCTGATTTTTTAAAGTACTTGCTCTCAGACATCCTGAACTATGTCACTAATGTCGGACAAAAAACAGTTTTATTTGACAAAAGTACTGTTTTTAGTTTATTAGATGCTACAGGCCCTATGATTTTTGAAACCATACCTACTGTGCAGGGAATTATAAGATTTTCTGCAAGGGCCTGTGCTTTACATGGTCATGTATCAGAGGGGTAGCCGTGTTAGTCTGAATCTGTAAAAAGCAACAGAGGGTCCTGTGGCACCTTTAAGACTAACAGAAGTATTGGAGCATAAGCTTTCGTGGATAAAAACCTCACTTCTTCAGATGCAAGTAATGGAAATTTACAGAGGCAGGTATAAATCAGTATGGAGATAACGAGGTTAGTTCAGTCAGGGAGGGTGAGGTGCTCTGCTAGCAGTTGAGGTGTGAACACCAAGGGAGGAGAAACTGCTTCTGTAGTTGGATAGCCATTCACAGTCTTTGTTTAATCCTGATCTGATGGTGTCAAATTTGCAAATGAACTGGAGCTCAGCAGTTTCTCTTTGGAGTCTGGTCCTGAAGTTTTTTTGCTGTAAGATGGCTACCTTTACATCTGCTATTGTGTGGCCAGGGAGGTTGAAGTGTTCTCGTACAGGTTTTTGTATATTGCCATTCCTGATATCTGACTTGTGTCCATTTATCCTCTTGCGTAGTGACTGTCCAGTTTGGCCAATGTACATAGCAGAGGGGCATTGCTGGCACATGATGGCATATATAACATTGGTGGACGTGCAAGTGAATGAGCCGGTGATGTTGTAGCTGATCTGGTTAGGTCCTGTGATGGTGTTGCTGGTGTAGATATGTGGGCAGAGTTGGCATCGAGGTTTGCTGCATGGGTTGGTTCCTGAGTTAGAGTTGTTATGGTGTGGTGCATGGTTGCTGGTGAGAATATGCTTAAGGTTGGCGGGTTGTCTGTGGGCGAGGACTGGCCTGCCTCCCAAGGTCTGTGAAAGTGAGGGATCATTGTCCAGGATGGGTTGTAGATCACTGATGATGCGTTCGAGAGGTTTAAGCTGAGGACTGTAGGTGATGGCCAGTGGAGTTCTGTTGGTTTCTTTTTTGGGCCTGTCTTGTAGCAGGAGGCTTCTGGGTACACGTCTGGCTCTGTTGATTTGTTTCTTTATTTCCTTGTGTGGGTATCGTAGTTTTGAGAATGCTTGGTGAAGATCTTGTAGGTGTTGGTCTCTGTCTGAGGGGTTGGAGCAGATGCGGTTGTACCTCAGCGCTTGGCTGTAGACGATGGATCGTGTATTGTGCCCGGGGTGGAAGCTGGAGGCATGACGGTAGGCGTAGCGGTCGGTGGGTTTTCGGTATAGGGTGGTGTTAACGTTGCCATCGCTTATTTGTACTGTGGTGTCTAGGAAGTGGACCTCCCGTGTAGATTGGTCCAGGCTGAGGTTGATGGTGGGGTGGAAGCTGTTGAAATCATGGTGGAATTCTTCCAGGGTCTCCTTTCCATGGGTCCAGATGATGAAGATGTCATCAATGTAGCGTAGGTAGAGAAGGGGCATGAGTGGACGAGAGCTGAGGAAGCGTTGTTCCAGGTCAGCCATAAAAATGTTGGCATATTGTGGGGCCATGCGGGTGCCCATAGCGGTGCCACTGGTCTGGAGGTATATATTGTCACCAAATTTGAAATAATTGTGCGTGAGGATAAAGTCACAGAGCTCAGCAACAAGTTGTGCTGTGTCATCATCAGGGATACTGTTCCTGACAGCTTGTATTCCATCTGTGTGTGGGATGTTTGTGTAGAGAGCCTCTACATCCATGGTGGCTAGGATGGTGTTTTCTGGGAGGTCACCAATGCATTGTAGTTTTCTCAGGAAATCAGTGGTGTCACGGAGATAGCTGGGAGTGCTGGTGGCGTAGGGTCTGAGTAGGGAGTCCACATATCCAGACAGTCCTTCAGTGACCTTTACATGGTCATGTGATTCATAAAGATACCACCGGAAAAGGACATTTTATTGATGTTGCTACTTTGAAAAAGTGGTGTTGAATTTTTCAAGCTGCCTAGTTTTCTTTGGGAAAAAAAATCCCTATTAATGGCTGTCTAATTTCTAAATATTACCTTGTTTATACTCTTCATAGACTGCACATTATGGCTTAGAATCATTTGATGAAAAAACATGTAGCATATTTCTCATTGTATTTGAACAAATTCTTTTTATTTTCTGAGCTGTTAATGGAGCAACTTGCCACTATCCATTCCACAGAATGTTCTATCTCCAGTCAGAAATGAGCTTCAACAAAGACCTGAGTAACTTATGCAATACAGGTGCGTGAGGAGCAACAGAGCTCTTAGTCCTTAGCAAGTAGAGCCAGTCTGGTATTACAGTTCAGTGCCACATCTTGTCATGATCTGCATGCATGGATACTTGCACTTCTTTGCTGTCCAAGTAACATTTTTTTATGGGCCTGGTGCTGTTTTGCATTCCAGGCACACGTGCAAGTATAGCTTTAATATTTTGTCTTTTTTGTATTTTAGCAGATGCTCCAGCAGCTGCTGCACTGCTAGCTGTGCTTCTCAGATTATAGTATTATGGTGGCCTTGAAGGGACATGCTATTGCAGAGCTCATGTTGTGTCTCCATTTTTATCCGTTTAAAAATATACACTTATTTTTGTAACATTTTACATTTTTTCTCTGACTTCCTACAACAACTTTCCCTGAGATTCTTTCACAGTGCTCCTCCCCATCTTCCTCACTTTAGTGATTGTAACCCACAGTTTGGGAATCTGTGGTCTAAAACAAGAACATCCACAGTTTATTCCAACAGAGGGGCACATTGGCAACTTGCCGAGAGCCCAGAAGAGATACATAATAACATGGAACAGATCACAATCTTGAATGTGCAGGCGCACCCTGCAGCATTAAGGCTGTAGCGTGCAGTGATATATCTTGATCTGAACAGACCAGTTACAAAATTAAGCATTGCATACTGGGACCTGTATGTGCATGCCCTGCAATTCTATCTTCAAGATGACATCATTTGTGGTGTATGGTGTAAAACACCATTCTCCTACTGCTGGCCTTGGAATACCTGATTTAGGGCCTGTACTACTCTGACAAACAGAATTAAACATTGAACATAATGGATAGCTCAGTGGTTTGCGCATTGGCCTGCTAAACCCAGTGTTGTGAGTTCAATCCTTGAGGGGGCCATTTAGGGATCTGGGGCAAAAATCTGTCTGGGGATTGGTCCTGCTTTGAGCAGGGGGTTGGATTAGATGACCTCCTGAGGTCCCTTCCAACCCTGATATTCTATGATTCTGTAAAGTTTCAAAACTGCATGCAGGACTTTATTCATGTGACACCCACGTCAGTCACTAAGACTGACACATCTAAAAATCTCCAGTAACTCTGAAAACCTGATTCCACCTCCTTCAATATAAGTTCAAAATAGAATGTTTTTTATATTTGAGACATGGTATGCAATAGTCATGCATCAGTTACCAGCTTCAGGAGCATAAGCCAGAGCTGAAGAAATCACATTTTCTTTCAGGGTTATTTTGTTTATAACACTTGAATAGTTCTTTGCAATGCTGCCAAAGTCATCCTGGCATTGTGCTATCACACAGTGAAGAGTAAACATACAGTAGAGTAGATATTTTGTTAAAATATGAATACAAAAGCCAGAGTGCTTTCAATTTTTTAAATCAGTGTAGAGCTTTCAATGAGACATTAAATGGCTTCAGTGGCGCTTGATAGAAGTACAGATGTATTTTTTAGATGGCTGAATTGGTGTTTTTGAGTAAAATGATTCAAATAGATAAATCATGGTATTTTAGTTCTAGCAGATTCTGACTCTTGTGCGGGAGAATAATTTTAAAAATATTCTGGATATTTGGATTGTTCTCAACAAAATGTAAGAGGCCTATTTATAAGGGACTACATGTACTGCTACATGTACTGACCTTTATCACTTGCCCTTGTAAACATGCAACTTCTTGAAACTTGCATGTATTTCTGCAACATTAGGTTTAATATGTATGTTCTATACACTTAACAATTACTTCCAACACCAATTTTTGGCTATTTATTCTGCCATTTTACATTGTCACAAACATTTTGTTTAACCACCTATATAATTTTTTTGTTGCAGAACTTTTATAAGACCGAACTGAATAAGGAGGAGATGTATATTCGCTATATCCATAAGCTATACGACCTGCATCTGAAGGCACAAAACTTTACAGGTAATTGTTGGTACATACAACCTAGAAAAAAATATTAAGAGTTAGATTGTGACTTATGCCCTTTCACAGTCATAGTGAGGTCATAGGCAATAAGACACCTCCTTTAACCCCTTTGCAGGTCACCCGGATCTTAGATCCAAGCAAGTAAAATAGGAGGGGCCTCTTGCCAGCTTACTTTCCCCAAAGCAGGTGGGCAGGGAATATGCAGAGCCTTGGCTCTATTTCACACACTTCCCCTACTTGCTGCCCAGAGGAGCTGTGCTACGTGGGATAGACAGTAACAGTATAAGGTAGCAATGAATTTATTACTCTTTCCCACCCAGGAACAAGTAGGATTGAAAGACAGAATTGTGATTAAGCTGTCTCTCTCTGAGTCACAGTGCCTCTTGGCATTACTGTTGGGTAGGTGTGGCTTACAACCCACCCCAGTTTGTGTCTCCAGTCACAGTTTAGCCCATATTGATTCACAAAACTGACTTGGAGTTAAATGAGGCAACTCCTGGATTTTCATTCTTTCTGTTTAATAATTTAAAAAGAGTGTGAAGGGTTGGGCTGCTCAAATCAAATGTGTTTCTGCACTAAGGTTGAATTACCAGGGCTTTTGAGCCTTCACATGTTTCTGTCATGAATGAAGAATGGAAATACCAAAGTTTTCTTTCCTGTTCCGATGGAGTCCTTTGAGCAAATACAACTAGGACATGTATTTCCAGCTGTACTCCGTACACTGCTGTGATTCCATGCAGATAAGAAAAAATAGGGACATCTTGTATTCTTAACACATTTAAATTGATTGTAAAACAGAGAGAGAGAGAGAGTTTGGATTTTCTCCAAGTGGTGTATTTCCCACTGTTTGGCACCATTCATTCATTTATAGATTTTAAGGCCAGAAGGGACCATTAGATCTAGTCTGATCTCTAGTTCATATATCACAGGCCATAGAATTGTACCCAGGCAATTGATATGAGGTGCTGGTTCATAATGCAGTTATGTGGTCACTTCAGTGACCTGTTATTTTCTTAAAGCCACTACATAATTGCATTCCAAAATCTAAACTTCTGTTTAAAAAAAAAAAATCATCTTGCCCTTATGGTTTCAATGATACCCTTAAAAATGTGAAGGAACGTAACCAATGCAGTTATGTCTGCCTAAGTCTTCATGCATCTTGTAGAGCCATTGTTTCAAGCAGTCTGAACTGTGTCAATTCATCTGAACTGTGTCAATTCAATGGGGAACTAACTCTGAAGCCTGATATGGTCATTTAAATATCAGTGTTAAATATATTGCTGTTTGTTTCAGTAGACACAAAAGATAATGTATTTATCCATTGTTGTACATACAACATTGGATGCACAACAGTGGTATTTATCATTGTTGGGCAAGTAGATGCTATAAAGAGTTACTGGACTAGGTAACAAAATATTCTTCTTCAAGTAGATGCAGCTGTGTATTCTACTTAAATATGTGCACACAAAGCACTTCAAAGCCAAATAAATTTGCTTAGCAGTACCTGTAGGGACAGTGCTCATTCCCTGTAGCTCCCATGATCCCCTCAGTTCCATCTCACCATCCTTGGCTAGAGCTGAAGCTCTGTGTGGTGTTTTTACCTCATGCTTTCAGTCTGTTTTCTGATGAATTTTTCTTGTGTGTAGTAGTTAGGAGTATCCTAAGTTAAGTTTAGTGTTAGTATCGTATTAGTTACAGGCATTGGCTGCCCTGTGCAGTGACCTCATTGGGGTTCAAGCATTGCCAGTAGTGTGTGGGGGCCATCCCCAACAGAGATCCTCACATGAGGGGCTTGTTGTGTCTCAGTGAAGGACACATTAAAGACAGATGAGGTACTGGTAAGTCGTTCATAAAAAGGACTCAAGTGGCAAGAGACTCACAGTATTTCATAATCCTCAAGCGCAAGGGAGGGATGAGACATGTCTTCAACCTCTGCGATCTCAGTAAAAACATCAGATATATGAGATTCTGTATGGTAATCCTAGCAGCTATCCTCCCCGTCTTAAATCACAACAACTAGTTTTCTGCCCTGGACCTTCAAGACACTTACTTCCATATAGCAATCCTGCCAAGCCACAGGAGGTTCCTCAACCAATACATCATGCTGCCTTTCGGCCTGTCTTGCACTCCCTGGGTTTTTACCAAGTGTATGATGTGGTAACAGCATACCTCAGGAAGAGGGGATTCATATCTTCCTGTATCTCAACCATTGGTTATTGAGGGCAAGTCCAAAGAGGAAGTCCTCTTTCATGTTCATTTCACACTACACTTAGTTGATCATCTAGGTCTCATCCTAAAAAGTGGGAAATTAAGGTTGGTTCCAACTCAAAGAATTGAGTTGATTGGGGTCCTGCTAGACTCTATGTGCTCAAGAGCATTTCTGCCAACTGAGCAATTCCAGGCAATTCCCCACCTATGTCTGGAGCTGCAATCTCAACTCTTAATCACAGCCTAGGCCATATGGCTGCAGATCCACAGCTAGTCCAATATGCCAGACTACACCTTCATCCTCTTCAGAAGTGACTGAAGTTGGTCTATCATCCGATTCATCATCCCTTGGACTGGCTGGTCCACCGATCCTGGACTCCTTAGGGTGGTGAATGATTCAAGATATTGTGTGCCAGGGCATTCCTTTTGCTCAGTCTCCACCAACCAAGACTGTAGTCATCAATACTCCCTTAATAGGTTGAGGAGCACATCTGGGATTGCTGAAAGTTCAAGGTCTGTGGTCAGAACGAGAAGCTTCTCTGCGTATCAATGTCCTGGAGCTTCGAGCCATCTACAATGCCTGTCAGACCTTTCAGGATCACATCATGGGCTCAGTGGCACTCATACTTACCAACAATACCATTGCAATGAATTACATAAACAGGTGAGGGGGGGAGAACACTCCAACATGCTGTTTCAGGAAGCGATTAGGCTATGGCAGTTTTGCATTGGGGAAGACGTTACCTCCACAGGTGATCACTTCCCTGGGATACAGAATCACCTGGAGGAGCACCTCAGATGAAATTTCTCCCTGAATCATGAATGGTCCCTGAAGCCAGCGTCCTGCACTCCGTCTTTGCAGTTTGGATCATTCCGACGATCAACCAGTTTGCCACGAGAGAAATAAGAAATCTGTTTTGCTCTCGAAGGGGTCTTCGTTCAGGCTCTTCTAAAATCAAAGTAACCCTGTGGCTGCACCCTAAGTTTTTATCCAAAGCAGTTTCCCAGTTTCACTTGAACCAGACTATATATTTACCAGTGTTCTTCCCCAAGCTGCATTCAACCCCAAAGGAAAAAGGTCTTCATATACTAGATGTCAGGTGATGTTTAGCTTTTTATCTGGAAAGGACCAAATCCTTCCGCTCCTCATCTCATGTGTTTGTTTCCTGTGCAGACCAAATTGAGGGTCAAATGGTCTGTCATGAAAATAGAGGGAAGAGTAGCAACCTTTATGTATGCAGTAGCATAAAATCCCTCCTTGGCAACTGTACTGGATTGCCTTACCTGTAAGGGGCTAAGAAGTTCAAATAACCTAGTTGGTACCTGACCAGAAGGACCAATGAGGAAAGAAGATACTTTCAGATCTGGGAGGGAAGGATTTGTTTGTTGTTCTCTTTTGTTGTTCCCTTTCCGGAAGGGAGAAGCCAAGCAGGTACAATATCTCCTGAAAATATACCTGATATAATCCAACTAGAACCACAGAAATTGTAAGTAGGGCAAGGGAATGCATTAGGTTATCTTTTGTTTTGGCTTGTGAATTTTCCCATGCTACAGAGGTAGTTCTATTCCTGTTTTTGTAACTGTGACGCTGAGCCCAGAGCGGAAACCTCTGTGTTTTAAATCTTTTTATTACCCTGTAAAGTTACCTTCCATCCTGATTTTGCAGGTGTGATTCTTTTTTTTTTTTAAATAAATAAAGTTCTTCTTTTAAAAACCTGATTGATTTCAGTGTTCTGAAGACAAAGGATCTGGTCTGTGCTCACATTGCTAAGGCAACAGGTTGGTATATTATTCTCAAGCCTCCCCAGAAAGGGGGTGAAGGAACTTGGGGGGATATTTTGGGGGTATAGGGATTCCAAGTGACTCTTCCCTGAATTTTTGTGTAAATCACTTGGTGGTGGCAGCAATACCGTCCAAGAACAAGGAAAGGAATTTGTGCCTTGGGGAAGTTTTAACCTAAGCTGGTAGAATATAAGCTTAGGGGGTCTTTCATGGGGGTCCCCCCCCCCCCCCCCCCCCCCCCGCCGAGTTCAGAGTGGCGGGGGGAACTCTGACAGGGTCTCTTCACAGACAGTCTTCAGGTGGATAACTTCCATACAAAGTAGCCTGGGCTATGCTGCCTCAAGAGGTGTGAGCTCATTACACAAGAGCCCAGGCAACGTCCATGGTATTTCTAAGTGACATTCCTATATTGGACATTTGCAGGGCTGCAACTTGGTCTTCTATGCATGCTTCTACAAACTACTATGCCATTTTTGCTGCATCCAGGTCAAATGGCAACTTTGGGAAGGCAGTCCTGCAGACTCTGAGCCCCACCTCCTATTAGTCCTGCTTTTGAGTCACCTTAGTAGATTACATTGCTGCGTCTATTAAAAAAACCCTGTTACCTATCTGTAACTGTTATTCTGTGATGCAGATGTGTATTCCCCTCCGGATCTGAGTCTATACATCTGACGTTTGATGTGAGGGAACAGAGGGGGTTGGGGTGGCACCCCCTTATAAGGTCAGGGGCAGTGCTATGGCCACAAGATGTGAGCACTGCCCCTACTGGTACTGCTAGACAAAGGTCTCCAGCTCCGGAATGCTGGGCATGCACACACCTAAGTAGAATACATGTCTACATCGCATCTCGAAGAACAGTTCCAGGTAGGTAATTGTTTTTTCAGTTGCCCCACTCCGAACTTTGTCACGTTAGCCTCTGTCCAAAACGAAGAAGGAAATAGGAGATCAATCACCTGCCCTGTATCAAAATACTTTGGGTTTGCAAAATCCCAAACTGACCTATCGTATGGGTACTAGAGGCCTCAATCCAGCTGACATCCACTCAGCCAAAAAAACTCCAGCTTTTCTTCAGTAACTTGCTAATTGTAATTATGAGGGTTCAATACCAAAACCTGTAGTACATAAAAAAAAGTCATTAGGAGACCAGTTGGGCAAGGTGGAGTTGTGTTGGGTACATGGAGCTTGGACCTCCTAAGGTACAAAGGAGAGAGGATTTCTTTAATTCCACCATACCTGTCTGGCCTCTATATGTTTAGTGTGTCAGAGGATTGGGAGGTTGTATTCAGGAGAGAGTTTTGGTGACCTTGCTGTATAACTTCAGAGACCTTCTCATATAATTTGGGCATAATGACCAACTAGAGATATATGGTTGCCCCAGACATGATTTTTGTGACACAACTGTGACTTTTAGGTTTTTACATAACAGGTTTTAATAACCCACTGAGCAAGGCATGTCAGTGGATCCTTACACACTATTTTCTATATGTATGTCCAGTATAGTCTGAGGACTGATTGTGACCTGATTTTTTTTAATGTTTTTAAACTATTCATTTCTTATTTTAAGCAATATTTTGCTCAAAATAATGCCTCCATGACAGTTATTCATTTTTCTATAGATTTCTTTCTCTCTTTCGTTTATAGCATTTGCAATCCATGACACTTTCTTTTTTTTTTTTTTTTTTTTTTGCCATGACACTCAGTCAGTCTTATTTAGTACTACCTGATTAAGGAAGGGTTGGCCTCAGTCCATGACAAAGGATAGAAACAGTCCTTACATTGAAAAGCAAAGGTTCATATAGTCCATTCCTTTGCCTTACATATTGATGTTCAGTGAAAAGAACACATATAAAAAGTTAGTTTAACCTTGACCCTTGTCAGTTGCCTGGGGACAGGAAGTAAAGTTCACTCTCTTAGCAGCACTCCAGTATGTTACACTTTTATTTCATCTAGTTGTATAGTTTTGTTCCAGTGATACAGGCAGCTTTCTCTTATTCTCATTTATTTTATCTGCCTTCACAATATGACTTACAAGACTGGTTCACATTCTAATAATTCTTTGTGAGAAAAGGCCTTTTTAAATCTAATATCTAGCATAAATCTTTTCTTCCACAGCTTCCAGTCATGGTTTTACGTTTAATCCCCTTGTGGGTAGAATATATAATGTCCTTGTTCCTTGTGTGTCCCCTTCAGAGACCTCAAAACTGGAATGAGATAACCTTTCAGTTTCCATTAATCGCAGAAATGTTTAACTCTTTGAACCTTTCCTCTTCAGATAGATTTTTCCATATCGTAAATCAGCCCCTCCTGTTTGCTTTCTTTTGGTGCATGGGGAATTAATACAGACATCTGCCAGAGGTGTTAATAAGTTACTTATATACAATACAATATGTCCAAGAACTTGCACATACAGATTTGTACTACAGAAATCTTCCAAGCTAAGTCTTCCATGATAGAAATTGAAAAGGAAAGGAACACTAAGAAATTTTCGTTTAGTGCGTATTTAGATTTAGTAGTTTGTTAGCAATAAAGAAGTCAAGCTGTATCAATCTTATAGCAATTAGTTTTAAATAAAATTATAAATAAGTATATTGGACATATTAAATATAAAATTATATGCAACAATTATATTAAAATAACATTTTTTAAGTTGCAAAGACAAGCACTCAGAAGTTAGGAAATGCCAGAATTAAGGTTGCCTTTGTGCTTCAATCACTACATATCTTCCAAATCCTACAATAAATGAAGCAGGGGGTCCTACAGACAACAGTTTCTTACACTTCACAACCCTTATGCATTCCCATAGCATGGTCCATCATGTGCACTGAATGAGGCAGAGGAAAAAAATAGTATGTGATCATGTAATTAAAGACTGTATCCTAATGCATATATACAAGAGGGCCAAATGAAGATTGCACAAGCAACCTTAATTCTAGCATATCCTAACTTTTGAGTGTTTGACTTTGCAACCTTAGTAATGTTCTTTTAACACAATTTTGTGTGTGTGTTTGTGTAATTTCCTAGGTTTTTAAAAAACAAACTGAAAAAACAGATTCCACTATGGGGATCATCAGCCGGGTTAGAACCTTTAGATCCACAGCTCAGTTCTTGCCACTGAAGCTAACAGAGAACTGATAGAGGATGACAACTTATTACTGTTATGTGGACCAGCAGTAGAGGGGAATGAGACATTGTGCCAGAGGGTTTCACTGATACTTTTGACAGCAGGGGAATATTGAATCTTGGATTTCATTGCAGGCTGTAGGGGAGTGTGCTCTAGTGGGCACAGATCCTTCTGCCCTCATTCCTCCCAGCCCTGATCCCTTCTGCCCTGTACCCTTCAGCCTGTCCCTGCACAAGTTCTGTCTTTTTACCCCAGCTCTTCATGCCAGTGACTCACCACACCTTCCAGTCCTAGTTTCCTTGTCTAGACAGTGCCAGTTTCTGCCCCTCCTTTCGTTTTCCAATCTTTTACATACCCTTCCCCCACACTGGCTCCCAGTCCCTCTCCTGTTTTCCCCCCTCCCCCAGCTCCCAGTCCATCGTCTTGTATAGCCACTATCCTTTCCCCCCCCCCCCCCTTTCCTGGCTCCTAGTCTTCCCCTTTTCTCCCCAGTCTCCTTGACCCAGTCTATACCCTCTGCTCTTTCTGCCCCCAGGCCCAGCTCCTTACCCCTCTGCATTCTAATCAGATTGTTCCTCCTCCTTCTCCATGTTGCTGAGGGAGAGACAGTCTCCCTGCTCTCAGTCCAGGTGCCTGGCAGCAGCCCGGATTAGCAATTGCAGGGAAAGTCCTGCTCAGGCTTTGCAGCGAACATGCCCAGTGTAGATGGAATCTTTGGAGAAATTAGATGCTACACTCTAACAAGTCTCTACTGAGCATCTGAGAGTTTTCAGTGTCCTATAATTTGGCCATTTTTTCATGGGGATGGCAAAAGGCACGTATCTGACACACAGGCCCAGCCCTCTGCCAAATTTCAAGTCCGTACTCCAAAGCATAGTGGACCTAGAGTTTCTCAGCAAAACAGTTGTAAGAACTTTTTTAAGATGGGCAAAACAACATATTTTCCCCTAATCTCATGCTAAAACTTGCAAAAATATTCAGCCTGAGGCAGACATCCAGCATAGGAAATTTCATCCCGAGCAGTTAAAGTATGGCAAAGTTATAAGCAACTGAAAACAGCGTATTATTGTGGGAAGTGTAGAGCAACCTTGTGCTACCAGCTCCCCTATGATGATTTAGGTAAAGTAGTTGTTCTATGCAGAGGTATAACTTTTATGAGAATATTATGGTAGGTCCTGGTTTAAATAACATGGCTTTTGAGGTATTTTATATTTTTCATGTTTACATATAACACTTTGTAACTTGTCTGACAGAGGCTGCCTACACACTATTGCTGTACGATGAGCTATTAGAATGGTCTGACCGGCCATTGAGAGAATTTCTAAACTATCCCATGCAAACAGAGTGGCAGCGCAAAGAGTATCTTCACCTTACAATCATCCAGAACTTTGACCGGGGAAAGGTAAGTGTGTTTGATTATTGATGTTATCATGAATGGTTAGTAGGATTGTAAAATCCCCTCCAGTTTTGCAGTGTTTATTTCTTGTATCTAGGGGAGTGACTGCCATATAAAAGTGAGCATTTGCCGTAAATTACCACACATGGTGTCTGAAATACTGTTGATTAGGACTTGCATAGTGCTGTTCAAATGGAAGTCTCAGGGAATTTTACAGATGGGAAAACTGAGCCACATAAGTGACTGAGTTGGAACTAAAACCCCGGTCTCCTGACTCTTAGGCCTGTCCTCTATCTACAGAACCAGGCAGGCTCCCTTGAATAGCAACTGCAGCAGCAGTAGTACTACTAATAATATTTCAGATGCTGCTGTTGTTAAGTTTTAATGGTGACCATAGTATATTGTCATTATTCAGAAATCTTATCCCAAATTCGGAAGAAACTATTGCCGATTGGTCTGAAGACTGGCACAAATATTGGGTACCAATATTATCTGGTTTAAAATTATACTCTGCTTAATTTTTAATTAAATCTCTCTCCTCGATAATTGCTACACAAGTACAGATAGATACACTGTAATTTTTTGTAACTGGTGTAATATCCGTGTAAATTTTTGTAAGTAGTAGAATTAAAACTAATGTTGAACGCTGGTTAGCAATGAGTCAGAAACAATTTAAGGATACTCTGAGCTTGTGAAACTGAAAACTTGTTTTCAACCAGATTGTTCCTCCTCACCCAAAAAAAAATTCAAGGAAGGAATATTTTTCCTAATTTTTCTACTCTTTTATATGTAAAATACATTTTATATTGGAACATATAATCAGTCTAATAAATCCCATGTACAGTGCTGGAGGAGAGGGATATCTCTTCATTAGTGATCTCTGCCTTCTGTAGTGGCACAGTGTGTCTTATCTCAAATTATTCTTTTTATCTACTAACTCTGGAAATATACGTTTTGATGCCTCAAAGAGTCCAGAAGTTTAGTTAGGGAGTTTTGCCCTTATCAAGGTACTGCAGACAGTGGGTATTATGTTCAAGTGTGTTCAGTAACTGGGAGTTCAGTTCAGTCAGCCTACAAAGAAGGAGCTTTAATAACATATTGTGAATTGTCACACAACAGGTGTTGTCTGTGTTATATCCTTGGGGGCAACAGTCTGCCTCATATTTGTTGGCTACAGGGAAATTGTAGCAATAATAGAAGATATTTGGAAAGCTATTTGAAATTGCCACAAAGCATGATTCCTCTCCGTGTTGAGTATTTCTATAACCTGTTTGTCTACAGTGTTGGGAGAATGGCATCATCTTATGCAGGAAGATTGCAGAGCAGTACGAGAGCTATTATGACTACAGAAATCTCAGCAAGTTGAGGGTAATGTACCCGGCTATATTTTGGTCATTCATAATAAGGAGCTTCCTTTTGATTAGAGTTTAACAAAATGATTCTTAGCATATTCAGCTTGGCCTTGTAAGCCTAATATGACTAGTATGCAATCCTTACCTTTGACTCTTATTTGTTCCCTATAATGTATATATCAGGAATGGCCAAACTTACTGACCCTCTGAGCTGCATTATGACAATCTTCAGAAGTTCGAGAGCTGGAGTGCACCTGCCGGGGTTTGGGGCTTCAGCAGAAGTGGGGCTAAAGCCCTGAGCCTCGGCAGTTGCTTCCCACAGAGCTGAAGCCCCGAGACCAGCTAGGCTTCCCAGCTAGGCAGAAGTCAGAGGCAATGCATGCGGGGGGCACATGGGTTCATGTGCCTCCCCTTCCTTCACCCCCCCCCCCGATTTTTTCCAGGGTTTGCTGGCTCTGCTCAGTCACATGGTGCCTCTGGGTTCCTCTGCCTGCGCGACAGCTGCTGGAGCCAGCAAGCTGGGAGCTGCAGCCATAGGGAGAGGCAGCGGCAAACAGCTGGGAGCTGCAGAGAGAGCTGCTGCTTTTGCTGCTGGCTCTCCCCATGGAGCTAACACCTGGGAGTTCTAGGGAGGGACCCCTGAGGGTAAGAGGGGGTCATGCTGTGGGTGGGCTGACTCAAACTGTTGGGGGGGCCTGAACCTTTAAATTGTGTTCCCACCCATGCTCAGCAGGCACCAGTCATCTCTGGCAGAAGCCCCTACCCCCACCACCCTGCCACAAGGCAGAAGTGTCGAGCCCCTCTCCCCCCAGTCTGGTAGGTGAAGAATGAGGGGGACATGAAGGTGCTCCATGAGCCACATTTTACCTGTAAAATAGCCTCTGGTTGGCCACACCTGGTATATACATCTCTACCGCGATATAACGCTGTCCTCGGGAGCCAAAAAATCTTACCGTCTTATAGGTGAAACCGCGTTATATTGAACTTGCTTTGATCCACCGGAGTGCGCAGCCCCGCCCCCCTGGAGCACTGCTTTACCGCGTTATATCCGAATTCGTGTTATATCGGGTCGCGTTATATCGGGGTAGAGGTGTATGTATAAAGTATTCTGGAATATATGCAGAATAACAGTAAATGGATAGATTTTCAATGCTTCCATTTTGGGCAGCCATCCAGTTGGACTGCTGCTGCAAAACACTTTTAACACACGAGTGAGTACAAAGCTGTACTTTTGTTGTATTCATATTTCTAGCTAACAGTATACACAATCGCTCTGTTATGAGCAGCCACCCACCTTCATTATTCTAATTGCTTGAAAAGCAGAGCGATGGATCATTAGTTCTGTATAAATATTTTTCTGAGAACCATGATTTTTTTTAAAATGACAATTTAACAATTCAGAACCTAAATGAGGGTTTTGTCCTCTTTCCTATTAGAAGCTTCCTGTTCCACTAAAGGTTTTTTTAGGAACTCAAAAACATATTTAATATTTAGTTTGCTCTATTGGACAGATAGAGCCACACATAGAAGAAGGAAATACAGTACTCCCATGAAAATTTTGCCCTTAGTAATGCCTAGGGTAGGGGTCGGCAACCTATGGCACGCAGGCTGAGCGGGGCCAACGGCCAGGACCCCGACAGGCAGCAGTGTGCCATTAAAAATCCTGCCTGGCCCAGCCCGCTCTTCTCCGCCCACCGCTGTCGCTGGCAGGGGCAGGAGGCAGAAGCAAGCTTGGTCCTGCCGGCTGCTGTTGTAGGGCAGGCACCGCCAGCAGCCAAGCTTCTCCCTCCCCCGCCTCTTCCCCCAGCGTGCTGCGTCGTGCACCGCCTCCTCTTCCTCCCTGCTGCCGATGGCCCTTGCGAGGGCGGGGAGAAGAGGAGCCCCAGCGCCCTCGCTGCTCAGACTGGGAAGGAGGCAGAGAAGAGGCAGGAGCAGGGCCTTGGGGAAGGGGGGTGGAATCAGGGCGTATCCCTCCAGCCCCCTGCCGTGAGCCGCTCAGGGCAGGGGGCTGGGAGCACCCCCCCGATCCCAGCACCCCCCCCGACTTTGGCACTCTCCACACATACCCAGCCCCCCGCACCCCATGCCCGGACTCCTGCAACCCCCTCACACGCCCCCAGCCCTCTTCTCTGACTCCTGAACCCTCCTCACACACACCCTGCCCTGACTCCTGCACTCCCCACACATACCCAGCCCCCCACACACACCCTGCCCTGACTCCTGCACTCCCCACACATACCAAGCCCATCCCACACCCCATGCCCTGACTCTTGCACCCCCCACATCCCCACCCCTGACCCTGAGCACCAAACGGGAGCTCCTGCACCCCCTATACACATTCCCACCTGCACCCTTCGTACCAAATAGGAGCTGCCCAGGTAAGCGCTCCACACCCAAACCTCCTGCCCCAACCCTGAGCCCCCTCCCTCATTCTAGCTCCTGGCCAGACCCTGCACCCCAACCCCCAGCCTGCTCCTTCACCCTCAGCCCTGTGCTCAGTGCACCCCCACCCTCAGCTCAGTGCAGAGAGAGAGGAAGAGAATGGGCCAGAACCAGGGAGAAGGTAGGTACCCACTGTATGTGGGCAGGGCCGGGACCCCAGACCGGCAGTGGGCTGAGTGGGGCCGGCAGCCGGGACCCTGGCTGGCAGGAACCAGCAAACGGAACCCCAGACCGGCAGTGGGCCCAGCCCCCGGCCCAACTCAGCCCACCGCCAGTCTGGGGTTCCGTTCGCTGGCTCCTGCCAGCCAGGGTCCCGGCCGCCGGCCCCGCTCAGCCCGCCGCCAGTCTGGGGTCCCGGCCCCGCTCAGCCCACTGCCAGTCTGGGGTTCTGGCTGCTGGCCCCTTGCCAGCCAGGGTCCCAGCCACGGCCCCGCTCAGCCTGCTGCCGGCCTAGGTGAACGGAACCCCAGGCCCGCAGCGGGCTGAGCAGGCCAGCGGCGTAAGATCAGCATTTTAATTTAATTTTAAATGAAGCTTCTTAAACATTTTGAAAACCTTGTTTACTTTACATATATCAGTAGTTTAGTTATATAATATATAGACTTAGAGAGAGAGAGACCTTCTAAAAAACATTAAAATGTATTACCGGCACGCAAAACCTTAAATTAAAGTCAATAAATGAAGACTCGGCACACCACTTCTGAAAGGTTGCTGACCCCTGGCTAAGGGCAGCAGATTTGTCACAGCATTTTTTATCAAAAATCATAGAGCAGACACAGTAAATTTACTAAAAGTCACAGGTCACCAAATTTACTGTGACTGCTCCATGATTTTCAATAAAACATCTCCTCCTCCTCACTCTGACAGTGTGGCACAGACCATTCGTAACAGCGCCCAGACATCGCAACCCTAATCCTGGCCCAGTGTGGAAGGGAGGCTGGGGGACAAGGAAGAATAGAGAGGTCACCGGGATGGGGCACCATATTACAATGGAGGGACAGCCAAACCTGAACAGCACTGCAGCCCCATGCACCAGGTCCCAGTGCCGCTCACTGAAGTTTGGCCCCTCCACCTCCTCCTACCCCCAGTCATGACAGAGGGGCAGCTGGGCCAAACCTGACCAGTGCATGCCAGGTCACAACCCCCGCATGCCAGGTCACAACACCCAGAGTGGGCTGCCAGCTCCAGCCCTGTCGGACAGGAGCCACCACTGCAGGGTGAGTCACGTGCACACAAAAAAAAATCACAAATAATGAGAAGATTATGCTACCTGACACTTTTTCCCATCATGACAAACCTGCATCCCTAGTCTTGCCTATTTAATTGGTTCTTGACATATCTATGTTGTGAGTATCTGAAAGTCTGAAATGCCAAATAGTCTTCCAGTTGTTGTTGATGCACTGTTGATGTTAATTTGACTTCGTATAAAAAAGAAGTTTCTTCAAATAATTTAAGTAGGGCGGCAATTAATATTACTTCTGATTACATTTCCCCCCAAAGTCTTCAATATTAGCAGATTAACAAAATTGTATCAATAATTGACTGATGTTGATCCTTTTTTTTTTAATCACTATTTGTAAAATATTGACAGAGAACCTGTCTCTTGAATCACATCAAGAAAAACAGGAAACTTTAAAACCACGTCACTTTGTGCCAATATTTTGAGTGAAACTACTACTGTATATATTGGTCAAAGAAAGGATTTTTATAAATTTTCTAGACCAAAATTTTCAAAGGAGCCCAAGGAAGTTAGGTACTCAGCTTCTACTGATATTAAATTAGACTTGGGCACCTAACTCCCTTAGGCAGCATTCTTTGAAAATCCCAAACCGTAATTCCCTGTGCTCATGAAAGTGCCCATGTTATAGCTAAATAGTTGAGTAATCAGCAAAATACTTGGGATTATGTTTCAAATTGGGTGTGTGTGGGTGTGGTAGTGTGCGTCTGTGTGTGGGTATGTGTATCTAATAAGAATGGAGATGGTAAATTAGGAAGATTAAAGAAGAAAAACAAACAAACAAAAACAAAAGGTAATATCTGTTCTTCCTAAGTGAAAATAACTTCACAAAAATTCTTGGAAGCTTTCAATCCACTGTAAAAGAGTCATCTAGTTCTCCTTATTGCTGATTAGAACTGAAATGTGATTCTAATACCTTGGGGCACTAAGCAGCCTCTTCTCTGTAAAAGCTTTAAGTATAAAACATATATTTCTTTTTCTCAATCTTATTCAGATGATGGAAGCTTCTTTGTATGATAAAATCATGGATCAACAACGTTTGGAGCCAGAGTTTTTCAGAGTTGGATTTTATGGGAAAAAGTTTCCATTTTTCTTGAGAGTGAGTAAATTCAGAATCAATTTTATGCACTAATTCTATCAGTCATGGTTTCATTCATCATCTCTTTCCCTACTTGAGAACTTTATTATGTCTTATGCCAGTTCTTTCTTTGTAGGAGATGGAAAACTCCAGGTGTTTTGTCTAATGGAGTAGCCTCTTAATATTCTTTTAGGGGAGTGAGATATTTGTTCCCACAGAGTGGACAATAGCTCCTCCAAAACCATACATGTCTTGAGCTCCAAGTATGTCTCGGTATACAAATGAGAGATCAGGCATCAGCTGTGAGATACTAGGGGAGCAATGCTTCCTCAAGAACCTTACTCCCATTTTGTTTTTATTAGTGACTGCCCAGAAACCTGTCGGTGTGTGTTTGGGGGTGGGGTCTACTGGGCAAAGGGGCAATTAGGGAAAGTAATCAACACCACCCCTTTACCAAGTACAGACTAGGGATAACTTTTTCAGCTACCTATGTCTCATTTTGAAAAGGGGCTTAGATACTTAGGATCCTAAGTCCCATTGACTTTTAATGAGACTTAGGCTCCGAAGTGCCTGAGTCACTCTTGAAAATGGAACTTAAGTGCCTTTGGATATTTTTACCCTAGTTTTCCCCTTGTGTTGACCCAGCTGATTTAACATGATTGCTTGGGAAATGGTGAATGTGCATATTTACTCCTTATAAGTTGGATAAAATCCTATAATATACAAAGATGAGGCCCTGTCTTAAGTCCTATGCCCCCTGCCCATGGGTATAGGAAGCTGATGAAGAAGAGTATTTCCATAGCACTTGTAGGTATCAGCACAACCATGGTAAACAATCAGTGCTGCATTGGGAATTCCAGCTCCTGGCATCTGATGGTTTACATGAGGTTCATGTTGCACACACAAATGTTTAAAAAAGCCAAGCTGATCTGGTGGTGCAAGGGAACAGTGAGCGGCCATGTGGAAGATTCAGAGTTGGAGCAGGCTCAGTTACCCTCATTCTCTCTTCCGCCCTAAGGCAGGACAGGCAGAATATATCAGACTGGTGATCTGTGCAGTCTTTAGAGGAAGAGGCAATAAGGATGCATTCTGAAGGTTTCTTATCCCTTCCCTTTCTCCAAGGTGCCTATCTATAAAGCAAGATTTTGGACTAACAAGCAAAAAAGTTCAGTACACCACACAAAGGACTTATGACTCTCCTGTTGCCTTCACCATCCATTAATTTACATTACCCGTGCATACTTTCAGCTAGTAAAAACAATGTTTGCCTTTCAGATCATGGCTTACAGAAATATGTAATGATTAGATTTTTCAGAATGCCTCAAGCAATAAAATGTATTTTATATGACACAATTACATTTGTTTCCTTTTGACTTAAATCACTTTTTCTCTCCATATGTGTTCGTTTTCTGCTTTTGCCTTTTGTTACTTACCTTTTCCTTTGTTCAAGTAGTGCAGTAAGCATCCCAAAAAGCCCTCTTTTAAAAGTGTGTGTCTTTATTTATTTAATGGTACCCAGTTATTTTCATATAACTAGCTCTGCTTCTTCTGTACAGAATAAGGAGTTTGTTTGCCGAGGACATGACTATGAGAGATTGGAGGCTTTCCAGCAGCGAATGTTGAATGAGTTCCCACATGCCATTGCTATGCAACATGCCAATCAGCCAGATGAGACGATCTTTCAGGCAGAAGCACAGTGTATCCATACTTTCACAAGATCATACTCTGCAGTTAATTTTTGCACACTTCTTAAAAAAAAATATACTGTTACAGCCAAATTCACATATGATCTAATTCCACTGAAATAACTGGAATTAGAAGTCAAATTCTTTTCTGATGTAACACTTTTTATTCATAATTTCTTCAGGTAAACTATTTCCAGCCATTCTTTTATTCTTCTGTATGTTTTTGTTTGTTTGTTTGTTTGTTTGTTTGTTTAAAAATCCTTGATAGGAGATCACTGGTTAAACATTTTGATTTCATTTCAATTATTTTGCAGAACTGTCAGACTTTCAGCACTGTGTCAGTTTAAGTTGCAATACTTCTAGTTCTTGATTTACAGCGCATGGCATCATAGGCTATGGGTGAAATCTGAAGGAGTATCCATTGTTAAATATTTTAATTTCCATATACTAGATAGCTGCATTTTAGAAGTAAATGTGACTTGTTAAAAGAAATTAATGGTCTGGAAGCTTAACGATGTGAACGTTCAGAATTTTTATTCCTTCAAGCTTCAGGAATCAGTCTACTTGTTTTGCTGGTGATAAGCTAGTTTGGCCCTTAACTTTTTACACATAGATCTGCAGATCTATGCAGTGACACCAATTCCTGAAAGCCAGGAGGTCCTGCAGAGAGAGGGCATCCCAGATAACATCAAGAGTTTTTATAAAGTGAATCACATCTGGAGATTCCGATATGACAGGCCATTCCACAAAGGGACCAAAGACAAGGAGAATGAATTCAAGGTAAAGTACCGTGTAGTTTCCTGTGCTACTGATGCTGTATAACATTGTTCATAATAGTTTATAGTTATGTGCTGAATGAAGTAGATAAGAGTAAATTAAATGGATCCTGCAAATAATGGTAGATCAAGTGTCATTTCCATACTCTTCTGATTTTAATTAAAATAAGGAAGACAAACATAAGACAAGATTGTCACTCGCCCTACATACCTGCACAAGGGAGTAAGGCCTGGTCTACACTAGGACTTTAATTCGGATTTAGCTGCCTTAATCCGAATTAACCCTTCACCCGTCCACACTACAGAGCCAGTTAATTCGAATTAAAGGGCCCTTTAAATCGATTTCTGTACTCCACCTCGACGAACGGAGTAGAGCCTAAATCGATTTTGTTAATTCGAATTAGGGTTAGTGTGGACGCACACCACCGAATTACTGTGTTTAAGTTAATGGGGTAGTGTGGCCGCACACCACCAAATTAATGTGGTTTAAAACCGAATTAAGGTGCTTAGTGTGGCCGCGCACAATCGAATTTATACAACCTGTTTCCCAAATTCGAATTATCTAAATTCGGATTAATCCTGTAGTGTAGACATACCCTAAGAAAGCGTAAGAAGCCCCCTTACTTCCCGCCACACGCTACCTGCATAATCTACCTTGTAATCCAGGGCCAAGCCACAATTTAGTCCCTAATAAATAAATTATTATTAATCCTATTAACAAAAACATTGGTGTGTGGAAAATTTACCCTTGCGTTTTCCAGTACCAACCTTAACACTGACCCACAAGACACTTAGAAACTCTTTCAGCATACGCCTGCCTGGTTATTTATTTATATATATATATATATATATATATATATATATATGTACCTAGTCAAAGATATTCATGTCTTAGTAATGTATATATGAAATACGTTTGTATAGCTTGTGCTTCAATAAGAGAATTATTCAAATCGATAAAGTGCATTATCACATGTTGGTATTGCTGTAAACTTAGAGTAAGAACTATAAGGGTAATAAAAAGCACCATAAAAATGAGCTTAATGAATCAGTTCTAAATTCTGATCAAGGTTTAGGATTCTTTAATTGTATTTTATATAAGTATTATATTGTATACTGTAGGAAGCTTGTAATTCAACAGACTTTTATGTCACAATAAATGCTTTTAAATTACTTTAAGATATTTCCCTAAAAGGCACTTAATAGTATTATGTGTTTGTGGGTGACATATGCAATACACTTTGATATATTGTAGGAATTGATAAAGGAGAGTGAGTCACTCTTTTTAAACATAAGTATTTTTCCAATTTATTCCTTATCTCAGGAATACAAAAACTAGAAACTGTCCTTTTTCCCAACAGATTAGGTTTTGAGTAGCTTTCACCTGTAGTCCATTTAGAGAACAGAGACCAGGATATTATTAAAAACAGTATCTTTCACTCGTGAGATCAACAGAAATTAATAGTGAATTCTAGATGGTAAAGGAGAAGATTGCATATTGTACACTTTTGGGTAGTCATTTGAGCAGATTTGGCTATTACCGTATTTCTGCCATTCAATATCACAAGACTGAAGAAATCCATCAGTTAAAAAAAAAACTACAGAAGATCTAACAAACCACAGAAAATAGGGCAAGGTGGCAAAAGCAATGTGCATTCTAGATCGCATGTCTCCAAAAGAACAACACACACAATAATTTGCTTTTGTATTTTGCAGAGTCTGTGGGTGGAAAGAACAACATTGATCTTAGTGCAGAGTTTGCCTGGGATATCCCGCTGGTTCGAAGTGGAAAAACGTGAAGTAGTGAGTATGAAGAGATCTGTTAATAGACTCTTGCTTCTGAGTTCATTTTGGATACCGGGTTAGCAACTAGGTTACTTCTTTATATGTACAGCATGTAATAAACCAGATTTAAAGATTTATTAGTAATATCTAGAGTTGCTAGTGGCAGGAATCCATATCAGCCTGCTTTTTATGCTGAATAAAGCTAATAAATGATTTTTAAATCCTTCTATGGTATCTAGTTCCCATAAATAACTGAATAGCACTGGTAAGAACCACCAACCATCATTGTGATTGATTCAAACAATTCAAGCCAAAAAAACAAGAAAAATATAGTCAGAGGTGACACTTAATGTCATCAAGTTATTTTTTTAGAACCTGGTATGACAGTGTTCAGTGCTTAGATTATTTATGGCCTAACATGTCTTTGGTATACTTGAAAGGTAATCATTCTCAGGGCCCCCGTTCTGCTATAAGTGCCAGGGGGGTGGATCCCTCTCTCTGCATGGAGCCCTGTTAAAGTCACTGGGTCTCTGCATGGGCGCAGAAACCTGCCTACGTGAAGCTCATTGTAAGATCAAGGTCTAAAGTAGCAGCCCATTACTACCAGCTTGTAATTTATTGTTTTTCTTCGTAGTTAAATTTCAGGGAAACTTCTCTAATACATTCGAAATATATTCTGAAAAATAATCCTTCTTGTTTAAAGTTCTCTAGCTAACTTGGCAAGTTTCAGGACCACAAGGTTGGCACATGCCAATATTCTCCCTCTTGCCAAAGAAGACAGTCCAATACTAATGTGGGAAACTAGTCCCCATTAAATGCACGGTTACTGCTGTACAAATTATTTCCTTTTAAAAATCTACTCTTTTCTCTCTTTTTTATTTTGTTATTTTGTTTGTCAGTCTTTCTCTCATCCTTCTGGTATAGTCCCAACTGAAAAATAGCTACTCAATTTAGTACAAATCAAATGACACACAATTCTGTGTAAAGCAAGAGAAAATCTGTTAGCTGATTGGTACTGTGGCTGCTACTCCAGTACACATAAGTTCCCAGATCAATACTGCACAGCCCAATATTTTGCATGAAAAATGTCACCCCAAAATAGCAGGAGACCCTCCCTTAGGTACCTTTATCACCATTACAGTCAGTTTTTGCCAACAATTACATCTGAAATACTACAGTTTCCTCTATGCTTAGCATAGCACATAATTGCGTTGTCTCAAATACCACTGCATGGTAACATTTGGTAAATGATGACAACTATAGAGGCCATAGAACAGTCTATTCTCTACTCTAGCTACTGAATTGTAAACTTTCTTCTGCCTTTCAGTCTTCTTGCAGTATATATTAGCAGCTAGGGAAACTCCTCTGACCCTTTAGTAAGGCACAGAAATTTTTATCACTCCGGGCCTGATAATGAGTGCCCTGTTAATTTCACCAGGAGTTAAAGGGCTCAATATTTAGCAGGAGGTGCTCACCAGCCTTGCAGAGTCAGATAATATGATTTGCTGGTGGAATTTGGTCCTTGCTTGTGTGGTTGAAGTCATTCTGTCTTTGACCTCATATCTCACAAGGGTCAACCCAAGCATGTAGGAATTATTTACAAATATAGGAGAAATTAGTAATATAAAATAACCTTGTTTAGAGTCTAAAATTCAGCAAAAACAGCCTTTAATAAATTATCTGTTAAATATATGAGAATTAAGCATGGGTGATTTTTTTTTTCTCCCCAGGTGGAAATGAGTCCCCTCGAGAATGCTATTGAAGTGCTGGAAAATAAGAACCAGCAGCTGAGAACTCTGATTAGTCAGTGTCAGACCCGACAGATGCAGAATATAAACCCACTCACAATGTGTCTGAATGGGGTCATAGATGCAGCAGTTAATGGTGGAGTTGCTCGGTACCAAGAGGTAAACAGTTTATTTATAAAATATATATTAGGATCTGTTGTATTATCTGTTTCATGCATAGTTTTACTAATTGTAAGCACTTTCTGTCTAACTCTTGCTCTGTATAAAAACATACAGACGGTAGTCTATATAATGGGTGCTAATAGACACTGCATTATACATAATCACCTATACTAAAATAAATATCAAAGGGTCGGCTATGACACCCCCTTGAGTGTCATTCCCATGCGCTGGTATATTAGGAGCTGCTGGCCCTACACCCTCTCACTTCCTTCTTACTGCCCGGGATGGTTGGTCGGAGCACCTCGTCTTGCATTACAGGACATTAGCGGTTAGCCCATTGTCTATCTTCTTTGTATATAGTTTGTAGGTACTTAGTTAGCCATTAAGTTAAGTGTCAGGTTAGTTTGGTAGTTAGAGTCCCTGTTACCCCGACTTCAAACCACGCTCGTCATGCAACAGGCTGATGCCTATTAGTGACCCCCACGAGAGCTGTTTGAAGTGCTTGGGGGAGTCCCATAGAAATGACAAGTGCAGAATCTGTAAAAACTTTCATCATAGAACCCAAAAGGAGCAGGATATCTGCTTGAGGGCCCTCCCCATGGAGGCTACGCTTTGTCCTGTGTCGGAGCCCTCTCGCTTGGACCCCATGCCGAGTACCTCGACATCGGTACGGAGTGCACTGCCAGCACCAGGCTCCGCTCAGCACCATTCCCCCTCGCTGGTGCCTAAGCAGCAGCAAAAGAAGAAGAGCCCCCCAGCACCAGAGGGGAAAGGGGCTTCGAACAAAGGACCTATGTCAGGCCAGGTGCCTGTCCTGAAGCTTCACGGGGGTACCGCTGCGGTCAGACCCCCTAGCCCGGCCAGGGATCCGCCTCCAACTCCTGGGAGCGGCAGGGGACCCTTGCCCGAAGCGGCCCCGGCGGCTAAAGAACAAGCAGGCCATCTGGTACTGCTGTTGCCGCGCCAGGCGCCAGACTTAGCTAAGACCTCAACATCTAAGGGCAAGCCAGTCATGGACCCGCCGCATACAGCAGTGGAGCATCCTCGGTCCCCGGACCTCAGGCGTAAAGCCCCATCTCCACAGCCTAGGACCCCGGCACCACTCTCTCCCTACGAGGCATGGGATGCTGGAGTCGAGGCACCGATTCCTATACCCATGGTACCGGCGAGCTTCCCACCAAAGATCGCTGCAGCACAGGTCACCTTCACCTAGACGGTCTCCTAGATGTCGGTCCCCACCCAGGGTAGGATCGCTCCCTATCATGACACCAGTCTCAATCTCCCTGGTACTGTTTGTCAGGCAGGCACCAGTCCTTGCCCTTGTCTCACCGGTCACCGATCAGGGTCAGTCAGCAAACTCAGGCCTTGGTCGCCGGAAGGGCAGTGGTCAGAGTCGGACCAGGAGTTCAGCCCCTTGCCTAGGAGGGGTGATTCACTGCTGACCCACGAGACCGGTGCGGCGTCTGCAGCTACGGCATGGCAGCAGGGACAGTGGCCCGCTCAATGGCCATCCTGGAACCCGTGGGGTGTGCCCATGCCAGTCCCATATTCCCACCAGTCTTCCTTGGCCACCTCGGACAAGCTGCTTCCAGCACCGCTGGCACCGGAGTCAGAACACAGCACTGAATCCAACGCGGGGACAGCGCAGCAGGCTCCAACACCCAAGGAGCCATCCCCAGTGAGGGAAGGTGAACTCTCCCCGCCCCCAGTGGTGCAATCGTCGTCATCTCTGGACGAAGCAGTGGCAGGTCCCTCCCAAACAGGCAGTACCCCCCTGACGACTTCCAGGAGCTCCAGGCCCTTCTTAAAAGGGTGGCTACCAATTTGAACTTAAAAAGTGAGTTCGCAGAAGAGTCCAACGACCTCTTTAATGTTATATCCTCCTCTGGTACCTGTCCACCCAGGGGTCCTTAAGATTGCCAAATCGCTGTGGCAGACCCCCTCTTCCATTCCGCCTATTTCTAAGAAGGCGGAAAAGAAGTATTACGCCCCTGCAAAAGGGTTCGAATATTTGTACATGCACCCTCCAGCGGCATCACTGGTCATGTCTGCTGTTAATGAAAGGGATAGGCAGAGCCAAGTCAGTGGCACGCCGAAAAACAAAGATGCCAAGAGACTGGACTTGTTTGGCAGAAAAGTTTATTCGCCTGCCAGCCTGCAATTTTGGGTGTCTAACCACCAGGCCTTGTTAGGCAGGTTCAATTTTAACAGAAAATTCAAGGAGACCTTCCCACAGGACCGACCCCAGGAGTTCGCTGCTTTGGTGGAAGAAGGCACAGCGATGGCGAGAGGGGTCCTCCAGATGGCCTGGGACACTATAGACTCACAGTCTGGGGTGGTCGCCTCGGTGGTGGTCGTGAGGTGCAGCTCCTGGCTGCAGTCCTCCGGGTTATCCCAGGAGATGCAGGTCACTATTCAGGACTCCTATTTGAGGGGGCAGGGCTCTTCTCCATGCTCACAGACACAAAGCTTCATGGCCTTAAAGACTCCCATGCCACCCTCTGCTCCTTGGGCCTTCATACCCCTCACAGACCAGGAAGCCGTTCGGCCCACCGCCTCCCCAGTCTAAGTCCTGGGAGACTCTCCGGCTGGGCACCTACAGGAGAAAGGATAGAGACGAGGGGTCTAAGCGGCATTACACTTTGTTTTCCCGTTGGTCTGCTCAGCGTGGCCCTTCCAGGAGCCAAGGAGGCCAGAAGAAGTCATTTTGAGGGTGTGCTCGAGGACAGCACCTCAGTCAGTTCCCAGGATACACCCTCCCACTCTTCCCTCAACCATATGTGCCCCTTCCGGTCGGCCTGGTCACGGCTGACCTTGGACCGCTGGGTGCTCAACGTAATGTCTTCAGGGTACACCCTGCAGTTCGTGACCAACCCTCTTTCCCCCCCCCTTCCTCGTCCCTCTTCACGGACCCTTCTCATGAGCAACTTCTCGTCCAAGAGGTCAAGAACCTCCTACACCTGGCGGCGGTAGAGGCGCCAGGACATGAAAGAAAAAGGTTCTACTCCCACTAGTTCCTAATCCCGAAAGCAAAAGGGGACCTCAGACCCATTTTGGACCTGTGTTGCCTCAACAAGTCTCTCAAGAAGTTGAAGTTTCACATGGTCTCCCTGGCCTCCATCATCCCCTACTTGGATCTGAAGGACTGGTACACTGTCCTCAACTTGAAGGATTTCCATATTTCCATTTTCCCAGGGCACTGGCACTTCCTCTGTTTTGTGCTGGGCCAGCACCATTTCCAATTCACGGTGCTGCCCTTCGGTCTCTTGTCAGCCCCAAGGGTAGTGATAAAGTGCATAGTGCCAGTGGCCGCTTACCTGAGGTGCCAGGGTGTTCAAATTTACACGTACCTTGACGACTGGCTGATAAAGGGCTGGTCCCAGCATCAGATGCGGTCGCATCTTGATCTGGTTTGCTCCACCTGTCGCGACCTGGGGCTGTTTATAAATGAGAAAAAGTCTACCTTAATTTCAGTGCAACGTATAGTGTTCATTGAAGTGGTCCTCAACTCTACTCAGGCCAGAGCCTTCCTCCCAGAGGCTCGGTTCCAAGCCATGGCGGACCTCCTCTCGTGCATGCAAGCCCACCCTCTCACCACCACTCACACGTGCATGCGATTGTTGGGCCACATGGCGGCCTGCACTTACATAGTCCGACACACATGGCTCTGCCTCTGCGTGGCTGGCGTTGGTCTACATGCCCAACAGACACAGCATGGACCATGCGGTCAGGGTCCTGGATCTGTACTGTCGTCACTCACTTGGTGGCAGAATTCTGCATCAATGTTGGAGGGAGTTCCCTTCACAGCTCCGTCCCCATCAGTGACCCTCGTCTTCAATGGCTCAGACCTGAGGTGGGGAGCCCACCTGGGCGATCTCAGAACACAAGGTCGTTGGTCGAGTCACCATTGCTCCCTACACATCAACGTCAGGGTGCAGTTTGCCTGGCCTTCCAAGCCTTCCTACCTCACATAGAAAGCAGGATGGTCCAGGTCCTGACAGACAATACAGCGGCTATATTCTATATCAACAAGCAAGGCGGAGCCAGATCATCTGCCCTTTGCCAAGAAGCCATCAGGCTCTGGGACTTCTGTGTACAACACAATATTCATTTCATAGCCACCCATCGGGGCCAGGAACGCTTTGGCAGATCACCTCAGCAGGACCTTCTCATCTCGCCATGAGTGGTCCCTCCATCTGGAAGTGGTCAGCGTCATCTTCCAGAGGTGGGAGACTCCCCAGATGGACCTGTTCATACCCAGGCAGAACAGGAAATGCCACGTTTTCTGCTCAATTCGGGGGATCGACAGAGGCTCCCTGTCGGATGCTTTTCTACTTCCTTGGTTGGGGGCTTTGTTGTACTCCTTCCCCCCGGTGCCGTTAATTCACAGGGTCCTCATGAAGATCAAGCAAGACTGTGCAAAGGTGATCCTCATAGCGCCGGCTTGGCCGCACCAGCACAGGTTCGGCACACTGCTGTACCCCTCGGTGGCTGTTTTGTTACAGCTGCCACTCAGGCCAGACCTGCTGTCCCAAAACCACGGCAGTCTTCTGCATCCAAACCTGGCAGCGCTGCACCTGATGGCTTGGCTGCTGCATGGTTAAATGCGGATGAGCAGAAGTGCTCGGCCGGTGTTTAACAGGCCCTGTTGGGCAGCAGAAAGCCTCCCACCGGAGCGATCTACCTGGCCAAATGGAAGCGGTTCACTTATTGGACCTCGGTTAAAGGCTTTTCATACAAGAAATGTCTTCCATTTATTTGTGCAGGTGCCCTCTGTGTATAAGTTGCATATCAGTTTGTTAAAAAAGAACGGCAGTACCTTTAAATATGAAAATGGGTCTGTAACTGTGATGCATGATTTTATTATTCTGTACTGCTGTGGGAAGAGTTGGGGTTTTGTTTTGAAAAACCTGGTGCCTTAAAGCTGTTGTAAACATATTCATCAAACTTGTTGTGACTTTGTGCCGTGATTATGTTCTGCTTAGGCATTCTTTGTGAAGGAATATATCTTGAACCACCCAGAGGATGGGGAGAAGATCACACGCTTGAGAGAGCTGATGCTTGAGCAGGTAAAATGGAGAAAAGACATAGCAGAGAGCCTGCTGTGTATTCTAGCTGAAATTGATATGTGCCTGGATTAGATATGAAATTGCAGTGTTTAGCTGCTCAGTGGCCCTCAATATTTGCTGTATAAGTTTTCAGATAGCCTGCAACTCCCTATAAGTAGGTTTCCAAGTGTAGTTAACTTAATCTCTCTGATCCTCTTTTTCTCTCTCCAAAAAAATATAAGTGGACCAATAAGAGGCAGAACGTCCTTTCATATTTGCATTTGCAAATATTTGTTTTATTTGCATGTTGTTACATATTTTACCACTACGACAGACTGACTCTGCTATGACTAAAAAGTATATTGTAGTAATAATACAACTTGTACTATGTTAAAAAAAAAAAAAATTCCACAAATACTTGTCTGACTAGGAAATAAAAATAGACAGGAACTAAGGAATTGAGAGGTTGCACTTTATATAAAAACTTAGGATCACTATTTGATCTTTGAACTGTATTTCTCCTTTTTTTCTATTGTATTTGTTTTTATTGTGTGGTTTGAATTGCTTAATGTAGAAGTTACTATTTATGGAAAATAAAGATAGATGAGCTGCATAGTTTGTGATGAATTGAAAGGAAGAGATGTGCTGGGAAATGACATTATTAACTATGTCTACTTTTTATTTTGATATTTTATTTTCCCCTTTGTTTCACAATAAAATGTGAAAAAGGAACTTTAAATATCCACTTGGTTAAGATAAACTTTACCTACTTGCTAGGCTGGTCAAAAACATCCAACAAAACATTTTCCAATAAAAAAAATCGTTTTTTGTCAAAATAGAAATTTTCTGTAGGAAAAATCAATTTTGGCTGAATTTTTCATTGGGAAAAACCTAGATGAAATGTTTTGTTTCTGCATGTTGACCCCATAGACTCCCATGATGCACTGCAGTGGCTCAGTTGCAGGGAGAGCCATGATGCATCATGGAAGATGTAGTCCAGCTGGAGAGCAGGGCCCCTACGAGAGAATGGGGCACAAGGGATCTAAGGGTAAACTCCCATGAGGCACCATAACACCTCAGAAGCAGAGATTAATGTTGACCTGCCCTGAAACAAAATGGTCATTTTCACCTGTGATGGGGAAGTCAGTGCAGCTTTGCTGATTTACACCCACTGAGATGCTGGCTCAAAATGTCCGCTGGATGCTCTCATTCAAAGATATTACAACATAATGTAACCATTCTATTTTACATTAAAGTTTATTTGGTTCATCACTTAACCAAGCCAATATTTTAAATCCATCTAAGTAAATATGAACAAGATAATAAGTGATATGTTTTGGTGCTATTACTCTCAAGCCTGGTGGACCTTTGTCCCTCATATAAAGCCACCACATTAATTATCACTGCTTAGGAGATACCTGGTAGTGAAATAACATGGGCTCTGTAGTCATAGCAGGATGTGCATTCCAAGAACTGTGTTTGCACACATCCATGTTGTCTGCCCAGATCTGCTGGCTCCTTACCAGAGTTATCATCTCTCACATTTCTACGCAGTGACATTTTCTTCCCAGTATTGTTTGGGGAAAGTCTTCATTCATATTTTTAGAACTGCTTATTCACACATTTCACACTGAGTCATTGGTATCAAGCCAGCTAAATTCTTCTGAAAGTCAAATAGCACAAAGAGGAGAAAAGTAAATGTTTTTGTCTAGATGCCTGGTTTTGGCCTTGTTTAATATCAAGGTCCTTCTAAAATATGTATTTCTGTGAATTCATAGCATTGTAGCATGGTGGTTAATGATGAAAAGTAAAAATTAAACTGAAACGCAACAAATAATTGTCTTTTTTTCTCCCCTTTTTTTGTGAAGGCCCAGATTCTAGAATTCGGATTAGCTGTACATGAGAAGTTTGTGCCTCAGGATATGAGACCTTTACACAAAAAGCTAGTAGATCAGTTCTTTGTGATGAAGTCAAGTTTGGGAATACAGGTATGTGAACAGATGCACTGACAGGCCATAGGACACAGCCAGGGCCGGCTCCAGGTTTTTTGCCACCCCAAGCAAAAAAAAAAAAGGGGGGGGGGGGGGCAGAGTGCCGCCGCCGAAACAAAAACAAAAAAAAATGGAGTGCCGCCCCTTGAAAAGTGCCGCACCAAGCACGTGCTTGGAACGCTGGTGCCTAGAGCCGGCCCTGGACACAGCTTAGCTGCAGCGACTGCTTCATTTGAACATGGTTGTTAGTTCTGCTAAGTGACGAATAGTGACATCTTTTGGTTGCTTGGTTGCATTACATTGATGTAGCACTGGAGCTTCTCTTCACTTTTTGAAATTATCTTTGCGACTTAAAGAAAAATAATGATTTTACTTTATCAAAGGAAAATGTTGAACATCACTGCAGAAAAAATACTTTAGCTTCTTAGATGTTAATATTTAATGCACCTGATTCAAAATGAAAATGTACAGATAGTAAATTGAAAAGGTATGTCACAAAATGCTTGATGGTGCTTTTCTTATTCTAATTAACCTTTTTTTAACCAATAATTAGGAATTCTCTGCATGTGTGCAAGCTAGTCCTGTTCACTTCCCTAATGGAAGCCCTCGTGTATGTAGAAATTCAGCGCCTGCTTCTATGAGCCCAGATGGTGCCAGGGTAATTCCTAGACGCAGGTAAATCAAAGATTAAATTACCATGAATTTCTAGTTTTTGGCACTTTCATACGATGTACTGAACGGTTTTTCTCTGTGGTGTAGTTTATCATATATATGCTTCTTAATATATCAGTGCACAGGCATCTGCAGACATCCATAACTGATAAAAATCACAGTATAATAAATAAACCCAAATTAGAGTGTATGAGATAAGAGATGTGAGAGTGTTTATTTTCTCTTTGTTCCCCATTGATGTTTAATAAATTGGAAAACTTGGAATAGGAATTAACTACATCAATTTTTTATTTTTCCTGTAACAGTCCATTAAGTTACCCAGCTGTAAACAGATATTCATCCTCGTCATTGTCATCACAAGCCTCTGCTGAAGTCAGCAATATCACTGGGCAATCAGAAAGCTCCGACGAAGTTTTCAACATGCAGGTACAAAGTATTGCCATAGCTAAGCGAAATACGATCTTATTGTTTTCTCACAAGAAAGCACTAGATTTATTTACTCACTATCATCTTCTGTTTACTTTAGAATTGTGATTGAAAGAGTCTTAAAAGATTTTTTTAGAAACAGACCTTCATGTTCTATGGGCTGTCAGCCTTTTTAGTTATAGAGAATGATTATTATTTACATAACTATACAGTCCAATTTGAAGATATAAATGTATGTGAGAAAAATTATTTTAAGCTACACAATCTAACACAAATCCGTTTCTTTTCTCTAGTCAGACCTTTCGGTCTAATTGTCATTAACACTGCGGCAAGTTCAAAATGTAATAAATGATATTCATATTATTTACATCAGTTTGCTGCTTAAAGCTCTTGGAAAATTAATGTAATAAATTATAAAATATTCTCTGGGCAAAACGTTTGTGTAATACATATGCAGTGTATTTGTATTTTACAAACTCGTATGTATAATGTGATCATAAGAGTGTCTCATCAACTTCCAGCCAAGTCCATCTACCTCAAGCTTGAGTTCTACTCATTCCGCTTCACCTAATGTGACCAGCTCTGCTCCATCCAGTGCCAGAGGTTAGTGCTTGTCCACTGAGTTAAATGGCTGTCAATACACTAACCCACTGAATCTCAAATTATTGCCTGTGTGACACAGAATGCAGTTTATTGTCAGAGGAAGGTGAATTGTTGGGAGGGGAACAATAGGATGTCTCTCTCTGTTATGAAATTGGCGCACAGAATTTAAGTGATCGGTATTTCAGTGCATTTTAGTGCATTAAGTTATCTTTTGGGGTTTTTTTTATATTCCAGCTTCTCCTTTGTTGTCTGACAAACATAAGCATTCCAGAGAAAATTCTTGCCTGTCCCCAAGAGAAAGGCCATGCAGTGCCATTTACCCGATTCCTGCAGAACCTTCGCAGGTACACAGTTTGTTACGGAGATCTATTCAGGTTTACTCTGATGAATATGATAATAAAGCTTCTTTAACTTTGTCTCTAATTCAGCAGGAACATTTTATTTTAGAAGAGATCAGAGAAATCAGTATGAGAAAATTTGGGCACTTCCTCATTTGGTAATGTTCAGATGTTTTCAGATAGGACAGATAATTGCCTACCGCTACAACCTCTACCCACTGTTGTTACTTTTGGTAGGTAGGTATTCCTCTAAACTGGCAACATTATGAATACAATGGGAAAAAGGAAAGGTTCTCTGCATATTTATAGGCAATATTAGTTAGTAAAATATACAGTACATACTAAAGAGAAGAAGCAAGAATTGAAATGTGAATCTGCTTAAATTGATCTAATCTGTGATTACCATCTGCCCAGTTTAGACCTGGTTTTGATATAAAATCAAAGAAGTGGGAGATGCGAAGGTCATATCGTCCATCTCCCTGCCATTACGTGACTGTTCTTGTGTGAGGTCAGGAGCAAGGAAAGTGGAAGGGCTGTTACAGTAGCAGTTGTCCATAGTGAGCTTCCATTCTCCTTCCTCTGAAACATCGTAATTACTGGCCATTGTCAAAGGCAAGATATACTACTAAGCCAATCACATATGGCAATTTCTAAATCCTTATGTCATTTCAGAGAGGAGGGACAAATAGAAAAGGGGAGGCATTTTTTCTGGCATGTGGGTGAGAAGGGAGGAGAGAGAGGAGAAATGAGTTTTCATTTTAAAATCACCATCTTTGAATCCCACGTAGGAATATCGCTATCCTTTTAGTTCTCTGGATTAAGAAGGCTTACAAAATGAGTTCTGTACCAGCCAATTTTGAATCCTCATTAATTAAATGCTTTTTATTAATGGGCCTACTTTCTTTCCAGTACTTTTCCCCTTGTTATGCATGTAAAAGCACTTCTAGTCCATTCCGTCTCCACAGGATGGCCTTCATTATTGCAGAGACTGGGGGAACTGAAGCACTTTGACAGGGAGCCCTATGACAGTGGCAAACAACATCCATTCTGATTCCCCCCCCCCCAGAAATCCTGCCTCTGACAACATGAAACGCAGTAGTTCTGGTTCTTTTACTTTAGAAATTATTTGGTGCTTTCTCTTAAATTTTAGTTCTGCCTCTCTCTCACTCACTCTCCACCTCTTGGCTATTAAGGTGGTTCTTGAAGAGAAAATATTCTCCTCTTTTCTATTTAAGCTTTTATACCATGCCCATCATCATGATAGCTGACAATCTCAGAACAAATACTTAATCTTAGCCAGGCTGAGAAGCAGTTCTCAGGGATCACAAAATGAGTACTCTCAACTGACAGCTTCCTGCCAAACTCAGAATGGCAGAGCAGCCAAAGCTGCATAGAGCAAAGACCTGCAGATATTCTGTATGTAAAGTGGCTTGTCAGTCAGCCATAAAGAAAGAACTGTGCCATTTTTGCTCCCAGCCTGTAAACTCTTGCTTTGCCAAGTGGAATGCGGCCTCCATTCCCCGCTGTACCAGAGATTCACCAAGAGAGCGTGAGGAGCCGCTAGGCCCAATCTCCACTCTCCCAGAGGCTCACCTGACAGGAAAATCTCCCAATCTATCTCTACCCTCAGTGTCCCCAGACAGGGTAAGTAGAAAATTACTTTTCTCATGCAAATTTCAAAGGCAGGAAGTTTCAACTATTCCCCCTCTTCCTCTCATGTCCTTAAAGGGAGTCTAACTTATCTAGGAAACGGGGCAGGTATGCTTCTCAGAGCCCCTTCCTTCCAGGATAGCAAGAATGGGTCATATGCAAAAGATACCGTTCTAACCCTCTATCATCAGAAAAACATATTCACTCTTGAGAGATTTTAAAGGCCAAATCATCACTTAGCACTTTATAAAAATTAGATATGGATGCTGTCACTAGTCCCTACTACTTATATTCTAGCACTAGTTTGCATTCAAGGTCTCCATCGGAGCATTCATAGTATACTCCCTGGATTTCTTTGTCACCAAGTGAAAGAGTAATTTATACTGTTGTCTTTCAACCTGAAAAAGAAGAGGCACAAAGGGAAATGCCTGCTCTTCCAATCCAATGCTGCCAGAGCACTGCACACCTCATTTGAGGAAGTTACAAGGAGTAGGACCCAAGCCACAGAGGTATTGGACAAGTAGTCCTGCCTTGAGTGGCTGCTTAAGATTACATCTATCCACCTACTGACTACCTTTCAGTGCTAGCTGCTTAGTCTCTGGATGGGTTGTGATGCCTTGTCTCTCTCCATATGAAGAATGTGAATGCCTATTGTTAGTGACCTAGCTTGAAAAGCTCCATAGACACTCGCCCCCGTAATTGGTTTGTTGTCTTTTTTAGTCCTTATTTGCTCCATGATTGGAGTCATTCTCCTACATAAGAGAGACAAGGTGGGTGAGGTAATATCTTTTATTGGAGCAACTTCTGTTGGTGGAAGAGAGAAGTTTTCAATCTTCACAGAGCTCTTCTTCAGGTCTGGAGGTGTCACAGCTAAATAGAGGGTGGGACAGATTGTTAAACATGAGAGGTTAGCACATGTTGCAAGAAACTACTTAAAATGAAGTGGGCAATTAACACCTCTGCAGTCATAGGAAAAAGGAAGGTTAGTAGGTTACAAAATGTTGTAATGATCCATAAACCCAGTGTCTCTGTTGAGACCATGATTTTTAGTGTTTACCAGAGTTATGAACTTAAGTTCCTAAGCTCAACTTTTGACGGTGTTGTGCAGATTTCCTTTGAGGATGAGGACTGAGAGGTCAGATATGGAGTATCGCTTTGTGAAAAGTGTTTGCCCACGGGTGGTAGGGTGTTTTTGTCTTTTATCATTTTTCTGTGTGAGGTCATTCAAGAATGAAGTGATTGTCTGGTTTCACCCACATAATTGTTGAGGCATTTGATGCACTGGATGAGCTACACCACTTATTGTGATAGGCATACGTAGGACCCATGGATCTTGTGTGTTGTGTCAGGCATTAATCATCCTAGCAGTGGAGATAAGTCTGTGGGCTGTGGCAGATTATCCATGGACCCATGGGGCCCGTGTCCAGGGGCCCTGGCCAATTGGGGAGCCCCAGCAGAAATCTGCCATGGGGCAGCAGAAGCTCAGAGCCATGGCAGAATCTGTGGGGCAGGCGGGGAAGCCCCAGCTCCCCAACCCTGGTCTCTGGCAGAAGTGCCAGGCAGGTGGGGTGGGGCAGGGGAAGCCCCAGCGCCTGGACCCCGGTCCTCAGCAGAAGCACAGGGTGGCGCGGGAAGCCCCAGCGCTCAGACCCTGGCTGCAGCCCCAGGACTGGAGGAGCCCTCACTCCCCTCTGAGGCCCTGGGTCCGTGGCATGGGGATAGAGGTTTTATGGTCTTGGGGGTGCCAAAAGGAGTGAACGGGGATGGGGCTGCAGATGAGGGGGCGGAATGGGTCGGGATCATTAGAACATAAGAACGGCCGTACCGGGTCAGACCAAAGGTCCATCTAGCCCAGTATCCTGTCTACCGACAGTGGCCAATGCCAGGTGCCCCAGAGGGAGTGGACCTAACAGGCAATGATCAAGTGATCTCTCTCCTGCCATCCATCTCCATCCTCTGACAAACAGAGGCTAGGGACACCATTCCTTAACCATCCTGGCTAATAGCCATTAATGGACTTAACCACCATAAATTTATCCAGTTCTCTTTTAAACGCTGTTATAGTTCTAGCCTTCACAACCTCCTCAGGTAAGGAGTTCCACAAGTTGACTGTGCGCTGCGTGAAGAAGAACTTCCTTGTATTTGTTTTAAACCTGCTGCCTATTAATTTCATTTGGTGACCCCTAGTTCTTGTATTATGGGAATAAGTAAATAACTTTTCCTTATCCACTTTCTCCACATCACTCATGATTTTATATACCTCTATCATATCCCCCCTTAGTCTCCTCTTTTCCAAGCTGAAGAGTCCTAGCCTCTTTAATCTCTCCTCATATGGGACCCATTCCAAATCCCTAATCATTTTAGTTGCCCTTCTCTGAACCTTTTCTAGTGCCAGTATATCTTTTTTGAGATGAGGAGACCACATCTGTATGCAGTATTCGAGATGTGGGCATACCATCGATTTATATAAGGGCAATAATATATTCTCCGTCTTATTCTCTATCCCCTTTTTAATGATTCCTAACATCCTGTTTCCTTTTTTGACCGCCTCTGCACACTGCGTGGACATCTTCAGAGAACTATCCACGATGACTCCAAGAACTTTTTCCTGACTTGTTGTAGCTAAATTATCCCCCATCACATTGTATATATAGTTGGGGTTATTTTTTCCCATGTGCATTACTTTACATTTATCCACATTAAATTTCATTTGCCATTTTGTTGCCCAATCACTTAGTTTTGTGAGATCTTTTTGAAGTTCGTCACAGTCTGCTTTGGTCTTAACTATCTTGAGCAGTTTAGTATCATCTGCAAACTTTGCCACCTCACTGTTTACCCCTTTCTCCAGATCATTTATGAATAAGTTGAATAGGATTGGTCTGAGGACTGACCCTTGGGGAACACCACTAGTTACCCCTCTCCATTCTGAGAATTTACCATTAATTCCTACCCTTTGTTCCCTGTCTTTTAACCAGTTCTCAATCCATGAAAGGACCTTCCCTTTTATCCCATGACAGCTTAACTTACTTAAGAGTCTTTGGTGAGGGACCTTGTCAAAGGCTTTCTGGAAATCTAAGTACACTATGTCCACTGGATCCCCCTTGTCCACATGTTTGTTTACCCCTTCAAAGAACTCTAATAGATTAGTAAGACACGATTTCCCTTTACAGAAACTATTGCTCATCAGTTTGTTTTTCTATGTGTCTGACAATTTTATTCTTAACTATTGTTTCAACTAATTTGCCCAGTACCGATGTTAGAATTACCGGTCTGTAATTGCCGGGATCACCTCTAGAGCCCTTTTTAAATATTGGTGTTACATTAGCTAACTTCCAGTCATTGGGTACAGAAGCCAATTTAAAGGACAGGTTACAAACCTTAGTTAATAGTTCCGCAACTTCACATTTGAGTTCTTTCAGAACTCTTGGGTGAATGCCATCTGGTCCCGGTGACTTGTTAATGTTAAGTTTATCAATTAATTCCAAAACCTCCTCTAGTGACACTTCAATCTGTGACAGTTCCTCAGATTTGTCACCTACAAAAGCCGGTTCAGGTTTGGGAATCTCCCTAACATCCTCAGCTGTGAAGACTGAAGCAAAGAATCCATTTAGTTTCTCTGCAATGACTTTCTCATCTTTAAGCGCTCCTTTTGTATCTCGATCGTCAAGGGGCCCCACTGGTTGTTTAGCAGGCTTCCTGCTTCTGATGTACTTAAAAAACATTTTGTTATTACCTTTGGAGTTTTTGGCTAGCTGTTCTTCAAACTCCTCTTTGGCTTTTCTTATTACATTCTTGCACTTAATTTGGCAGTGTTTATGCTCCTTTCTATTTGCCTCATTAGGATTTGACTTCCACTTTTTAAAGGAAGTCTTTTTATCTCTCACTGCTTCTTTTACATGGTTGTTAAGCCACGGTGGCTCTTTTTTAGTTCTTTTACTGTGTTTCTTAATTTGGGGTATACATTAAAGTTGGGCCTCTATTATGGTGTCTTTAAAAAGCGCCCGCGCAGCTTGCAGGGATGTCACTTTAGTCACTGTACTTTTTAACTTCTGTTTAACTAACCCCCTCGTTTTTGCATAGTTCCCACTTTTGAAATTAAATGCCACAGTGTTGGGCTGTTGAGATGTTCTTCCCACCACAGGGATGTCGAATGCTGTTGTATTATGGTCACTATTTCCAAGTGGTCCTGTTATAGTTACCTCTTGGACCGGCTCCTGCGCTCCACTCAGGACTAAATCTAGAGTTGCCTCTCCCCTTCTGGGTTCCCGTACCAGCTGCTCCATGAAGCAGTCATTTAAAGTATCGAGAAATTTTATCTCTGCATTTTGTCCTGAAGTGAAATGTTCCCGGTCAATATGGGGATAATTGAAATTCCCCACTATTATTGAGTTCTTAATTTTGATAGCCTCTCTAATTTCCCTTAGCATTTCATCATCACTATCACTGTCCTGGTCAGGTGGTCTATAATAAATCCCTAATGTTATATTCTTATTAGAGCATGAAATTTCTATCCATAGAGATTCTATGGAACATGTGGATTCACTTAAGATTTTTACTTCATTTGATTCTACATTTTCTTTCACATATAGTGCCTCTCCCCCCCTGCACGACCTGTTCTGTCCTTCCGATATATTTTGTACCCCGGAATGATTATGTCCCATTGATTGCTCTCAGTCCACCAGGTTTCTGTGATGCCTATTATATCAATATCATCCTTTATCACAAGGCAGTCTAGTTCACCCATGTTATTATTTAGACTTCTAGCATTTGTGTACAAGCACTTTAAAAACTTGTCACTGTTTATTTCTCTGCCCTTTTCTGATGTGTCAGATTCTTTTTTATGTGAATGTTTATCATCTGATCTGGCCCTTACATTATCCTCTTCCATCCTCTGCTCCTGACTATAACCTGGAGATTCTCTATTATTAGACTCTCCCCTAAGAGAAGTCTCTGTCCGATCCACATGCTCCTCTGCAGCAGTCGGCTTTCCCCCATCTCCTAGTTTAAAAACTGCTGTACAACCTTTTTAATGTTTTGTGCCAGCAGTCTGGTTCCACTTTGGTTTAAGTGGAGCCCATCTCTCCTGTATAGGCTCCCCCATCCCAAAAGTTTCCCCAGTTCCTAATGAATGGGCAAAATGTGGACAGGGACACAGGGGAAGGGGTGGAATGGGGTAGGGTCATGGGTGGGGCCGCGGGCAGAATGGGGATGGGACCGCAGGCGGAAGGGGTTGGGCAGGGCCATGGTTCCAGCACCAGAGCACCCCCCCACATACACACACACTTGCTCTGACCCAGGGCCCCAGGAGATCTTAATCCGCCTCTGTCTGTAGGTTTTGCATCTGTTGTTCTGGCATGGTCTGGTGCTGCTTTCAGTTAGTGTGTCCTGGTCTATGGGAGGCTTGCTTCTGATTTGGGGAGTTGTTAGAAGGCCAGAAGAGAGGGTTTGGGAAAGATTTCTTTCAGGATGGGTTCCCATCAAGTTTGGGTTGTAATTGTTTGATGATGCTCTATATGGATTCCAGTATGGGTTGGTGGGTGACAAGCAGGGATGTGCGTTTGGGGTTTGGGGGTTTGTTTGGGTGGGTTTTGGGTTGGTGGGTTTTTTTGTTGGTTTTTTTGGAGGGACGGGGGGGTTTTGGTATCAAAGCAAGTTCTCTTGAGGTATTTAGGTGGCCCGTTCCCTGATGTGATTTGCTTCTCTGATGGAGTGTCCTTGTTTGATGATGGCAGTTATAAAGATGTTAAGGGTCTATCTTTGGAGCATATTCTGTGGAATCTGAGTTCCTGGCTTTAGATAACAGATTTCTTGGTGTGTTTGGGGTGGTTACTGGATCTGTGAAGGTAGGTGAGGTGATTCATGTGTTTCTTGTATATGATTGTCTGTAGGGTTCCATTGCTGAAGCTTATCGTGCCATCCAGGAAGTTGATGCTGGTTATGATGTTGTTCCTGAATGCTATGATCAGCTTCAACATCCTGGACATAACCAAATATTAGTATCTTCCACCAATAGAAGTTGGTCCAAATAAAAGTTACCTCTTCCATCTTGTCTCTCTCTTATCCTAGAACCTTCACAGCTGCAACAGCATTGCAAAATACATAACTGTCATTCTTTTGTTTCAATCTATCCTCTTTCCTTTATGTTTCATATGAATTTGCTTCCTTGATCCCTACTGGTGACTTCAGTGCTTTTTCAGCCCCTGTACTTTTCCTTCAGAAAGGAAACCAGATTCTTTTTTAACTTATTGCCTCACTTTCTTGTCAAAGAGCAGTAGTTAATGCTGGAAGAAGATGTGATAACAGGATTTGGCTTGATTGGTTTTCCCTCACTGATTGTTGGTCTGGTCTGCCTTTAAATTGTAGAACACAGCACTCTATTTAGCTTTGCCTCAAAAATTAGATCTGAGTTATTTGTGGGAATAGCTACTTATTTTATTTTCCTGTTATTTAATGTCAAAAAGGATTTCCAAAAAGTGATCAATGTGCTGTGTGAATGTTGCTAATAGAAACACCTAGAAACTTAGAATAATTTCATAGCACTGTATTCCTATGATTTCTGTAGTAATCAATATTCAGGTAGGAGGGAATTGCCATAATGCAGGGGATAATTCTTACGCACTATAAAGCTAAGGGACCCTGCTACCATGAAGTGTCAGATCTTGGACAGAATTAGGAAAATGACCCTGTACCAAGGAGACGTCACCAAATATCGGTATCCAATTTAGGTCCTGATCCTACAATGAATCCTTGCAGATGGACCTCTATACCCATTTGGTATCCAACTGAAGTCAAAGCACACAGATTTTACTTCAGGATTGGGCCTTAGGTTGTAATTGTAATGGGGCAGGGAACTGCCTTATATACTGCCAAAGCCAATAAATAATAACTATCTCAAATTATTCCAATATGCACACGTTTCCAAAAAGGAGGAATTCACCTCCATTTTTTTCTACTCATTTCCATACAATTTTAAGTTCTCAGGGGGTGGGGAGGATTACCCCAATATCCCTCTTTAATAAACAAAAAACAAAGATACAAAACTACCAGCTCTGTAAATTTGGATTACCTCAGTTTTCAAGATCATTTTCCTTATTTAAATAATTTGGGCCAAATTCTTTTGAACATTTTGTTTTTGCAAAATTAATGTAATTGTCTTTTAAAAAGTCATTGGATTGCCATTGTCTTTTCCCATAAAATGCACTGTTCTGAATTTCCAGAGAATGCTGTTTAATCATATCGGAGATGGTGCTTTGCCCCGAAGTGATCCTAACCTGTCTGGCCCTGAGAAAGGTGAGTAGAATCCTGTACCACTGCCAATCTGGGTATCAGTGAACAGGGGTGGCTCTATGTATTTTGCCGCCCCAAGTACGGCAGTCAGGCAGCCTTTGGTGGCATGCCTTCGGGAGGTCCGCTGGTAACACGGATTCGGTGGCATGCCTGCGGGAGGTCCACCAGTCCCACGCCTTCGGCATACCCACCGCCGAATTGCCGCCGAAGCCGTGGGACTGGCAGACCTCCCGCAGGCATGCCGCCGAAGGCTGCCTGACTACCGCCCTCACGGCAACCGGCAGGCCGCCCCCCGCGGCTTGCCGCCCCAGGCATGCGCTTGATGTGCTGGTGCCTGGAGCCGCCCCTGTCAGTGAAGATAAATTAAAGTTGTCACTCTAGAATGTCACTCCTCCTGACTGGCTGGTGAATAATAATAGTTCCTAGATCTCATATAGCACTTCCCATCCATACATCTCAAATTGCTTCACAAGGAAAGAAAAGAGGGGTAGCCATGTTAGTCTGAATCTGTAAAAAGCAACAGAGGGTCCTGTGGCGCCTTTAAGACTACAGGTGCCACAGGACCCTCTGTTGCTTTTTACAGATTCAGACTAACACGGCTACCCCTCTGATACTTGACACCATGCAAGGCACTGCATTTAGCCGTATGGAATGGAAATCTATCTGGAAATTTCCATTACTTGCATCTGAAGAAGTGAGGTTCTTACCCACGAAAGCTTATGCTCCCAATACTTCTGTTAGTCTTAAAGGTGCCACAGGACCCTCTGTTGCTTTTTAAGGAAAGAACAGTGTACCTGTGATCTGAGCCTTGCATTCAGAAGGGCCCAGGAGATAGCAGGGAGTTAGAGTCAGAGATGGAACAGCAGATGGCAAGGCATTGCTGCTGGCTGTCTGCCTGCTAGCATGGTCTTGAGCTGACTGGACTGGATCACTTGGGAGGAAGTTTAAAGGCTCAGGAGTGGGAGAAAGATACATGTTCATCTGGAGGCTGAAGGGGAGGTTGAGATGATCTTGGGATGGGAGGGAACCCTGAAGTTTGGTACATCCATTTCCCATTTAGCCATACATAATCTACCTCTGCTCCCCCTGTTTATATCTGGAATGCTATGGGAAATACATCTAATTATCTTTAACATATTAAAGTAAATAAGAAACATCCATTATTTGCTATAAAGAAAATATAAATGAGGGTGCTTCTGTATTGTTGGCATAATTACCCCTTCACAGAGCACTAAGTTTTAAACTGAAATCACTCTGGAATACACAGAGACACTCCAAATGGTTTGCAGTAAAACAGATTAATTCAAATCATACAATTCAAAAGAAAATTATAACTAGAGCCGACCAGGAAGTGGAATTTCCATCCTGCAAAGTAAATTGAGTTTTCTAATATTTTTTCATCCTGAATGAGAATGAAAATTCAAAAGCCAGAATTTTTCATGGGACCAAAAAATCCAAAATGTCCAGGCCTGGGATTTGGAGCAATCAAATTTTTAAATTGCTCCGCTCCGGCTTTGCTCCAGCTGTGGGCAAAAACCTACTGCTCCGCACTCCAGCTCCGGGCTCCGCTCCAAAGCTCTGGTCCAGGCAGCAGAAATATTTTGGTCTTTACAAAATGATATATGCTGATCTGGGAGCTGAAGAACTGGCCATCTAGGGAGTCTACTCGACCACCAGATTGGAGCCTAGGGAGCCAGTTAGCCGGGGTCCTGCCCATCTGGTTACTTTTAAAGTAAGGACAGATCATGCTGCTAGATGGAAGTAACATATTACCATTACCATTAAATGTCTCTCTTACATATTAGGAAATAACAAGAGAAAATATTTTTTTAAGAAATAGGCTGATTACTGTGTGCTGCTCTCAGGGTCAACCCTCTACTGCAGAAGCACTCCCCAGGAGAATTAATCAAAAAGATGGATAAAAATGTTCTCACTGGAATGCATTTTAATTGGTACCTATTAAAAGCATAATATATGTTATGTGTACTTATGAATAAATGAATATTAAAATGTAAATGGTGAGTTGCCAGGTAAACCTGAATCCTGGATATTAGGACTGGAAAATTAAATATACAAGGAATCTTGGTTCTTTAAATACATTTGTTTTAATTTAGTTCATGAATTCGTTGTTCTGCAAGCAAACGATTTCATTATTTAGCCCCCCTTGAATAAAATTGTTCACTCATCACGAATTAGTTCTTTGTAATATCTACAGGGAACATTTTATAAAATGTTTCTGCTTTAGAAAGTGTAATAAAATGTCAGGAAATTTTTGTCATTGTTTTGTTTTTTAATGTAGTGACAGGTTGTGAGCAATATTTCTGCAAATGGATTACTGTCAAGGTTGGTTCGTGCCAATATCAGATTGGTCATTATTATCTGGGCACATGAACATCAGGGCACATGTGACTATAGAAACCAATTGGATACTGGTTTAAACATACCTCCCTCTCCCTCTTACCTTGTGCCCCCCTAATTTGTGTATTTATTTCCTGTTATGTATTTTCTCAATTGTAAGATCTCTGGGTTAGGAACTATCCTTGTGTTATTTGTACAGTGCCTGGTACAGTAGGAATCTCGTAGTCCTTAAATGTACTGCAATAGAAATAGTGAATAACAACATGAACACTGCACTCTGACTTTCACTCCATTCTTGTAAATGAGCACAAGGTTCTTCTTGTGTTTCAGTACCATGTTTGCACACAAGTATGGAGGACAGGCCAAGAGAAGAATGGTGTAGACAGAGCTTGTGCTTCCTATATCTTGGAAGCACTTTGAATTTATTGTCAACAGATGGTTCAGCTTAAAAGGGCTTCTACCAGTTCTATAGTCCTTTTTTTTTTTTTTTTTTTTTTTTTTTTTTTTTAAGTTAATAGATTTTTCATTAACTAGAGGGTAGCTTTGAGGAAAATTGCAATTTTTAAGATCTCTTTTGGGCCTGCCAGTGTTAAATATCTTTTTGTCAGACAAGTGTGGAGAATATTATAGTATGAGACCTCTCTGGTTCCCGTCATAGAGAATATTTCATGCTTTGTGCAGTAATCACTATTCCATGCACTACAATTCAATTAAAGATGTATAAGCCCCGGAAAATGACACTGATAAATACCAAACAGTGATCTTATACAAGTCAAGGGTGCCAAAGTCATCCTGCAACCGAGTAAAATTACATTTTTAATTAGAACCTTTGGACCTCATGGATACAAAGTAAAGGTCATATGCTGCCCTCACTCCATTTTTTATTTTGTGCAGTTTTTAATGTTTTTTAACTTTATCTCTTCTCTTCATCAGCCTATGTATTTTTGTTCAGTTCCTCTACCCGTCCATTTTGCGCTCTCTCTCTCTCGGGTTTTTTTTTTGGGGGGGGGGGGGGGGGGGGGTCTATGCCAGGGCAACAGAAGTGTGTTAACATTGAAGATATTCTGAGGGAATATTGGCTGGAATTCTAGTCAGTTTACTTCTCCAGTCTTTCCATATGTAAAGCGATTCAGAGGAAACTGCCTAGGAACAGTCTGTTTCATTCCACATAGAACTCTTTAAACAGGGAGCCTGCTACAGGAGGAATCTGAGGGCAGGTCTACACTTTTGCTTAAGTCATTGTAACTTACCACGCTTAGGGGTGTGAAAAAGTCACTCCCCTGAGCGACGCAAGTTACAGCAACCTAAGCGCTGTCCACAGTGGCGCTATGTCAGTGGGAGATGCTCTTCCACTGACACAGCTTCCGCCTTTCGTGGAGGTGGGGTAATTATGCCGACAGGAGAGCGCTCTCCTGTCAGCATAGAGCGTCTCCACCAGACGCACTACAGGAGCACAACTGCATCGGTGCAGCTGCGCCTGATGCAGTGCTTCTAGTGTAGAGTAGCCCTGACTCATGGGATCGTAGTCTGTTTCCCTCTGTAGCTGGATCTGTGTGTGCAAAGCACCAGAGTGCTCTTTCAGTTGCTATTGCTCATGAGGTCCAAATTGCTGTACAATCTCAAACTCACCTAGGGAGCCAAATACACACATCAAGCAGGCCAGGAGTCTAACATGCATGATTTTAAGTGCTTTTTTAAATGCTATTGTAATCGGGTGAGTTTTTCAGGCATGCTGTTAAGTTGGTTAACATTTTAACTCTACATACTTGTAATCTTCATGGATATGGGAAAGGTGGAAAGGTTGGAATTGAGAGCTGGAAATATTAGCGGATGTGTCAGCATTGTCATTCTCTTCCAGCTGTAAACACCACCCCCAGCAGTTGGAGTCTGGACAGTGGAAAAGAAGCCAGGAACATGTCAGAAAGTGGAAAGCTTATGTCTCCCCCTGTGCCACCAAGACCCACACAAACTGGTGAATATATGAACATTTCAGGCCAACCTCCAATACAAAATGATTTACTTGATGGCTTTGACTCTTTCCACTGTGATTAACACTTAACTCCCTGGGCAGGATAATTTATCAGTTCATTGCCTCGGATGGAAGGCTGTAGAACTGCAGTTACTTTCATCTTGTTAACGTTCTGTACTCTTGTAACATTCCATTTTCAATATCCTGCATCTTCATTTAATGACTTATTAGATTCATGTTGATACCCAGAAGAGATGATTGATTTTTTGGTCTTTTGATCTTACAATGATTGGAGGTTAGTAATCACAACCTGGGCACTCTGAAAAGAAGCATCTTATTGGGTGGTGCTATATAGGCAGTCATGTAACGCCATGGTTTCAGTTTCATTAACCAGTTTGTCCTTCAAAAAATCATTTTGTCAATTTAAAGGAAAAGATATTTAAGTGCTACTTTAAGTATGATTGTTTTCAAGTGATTGAAGATATTTTCCATTTATCCTCACAATACACCATGGACCTGCAGGCCTCTGGGAGAAGCATGCTTTGTGATGTGTTATTGCTTGTTTAACACATATGTACAGAATTTTTTCCTTAAAAGAACAAACAAAGGGAGGGGAAGAGAGCATGATAAGGAAATTTTTTCAATCACGTTGCCAGTTAGTTTAGAATGATGTAAAAATTGCCAGGGGAGATGGGTGCATAAATATTTCATGCTGTATGTATTCTCTTGTAAGATAACCTTTGCATAACTTTGAAAACAAATGAAATCTTCTAAAGTATGCACAGCCTTTGAGCAAGATGCACAGAATCGAACAGGGGGAGGTAGTGGGTAGTAAAAATTGGATCACCTCTTTTCCATTAACAAAGCTTTCCCAGGAATACCTTTGTATTGGGTTGTTGGTTTTTTTTTCTGTGATCCATCTAAACATACTGGTGACCTTTTGTATTTGGTAGAATTTCTGTAATAAATCTGATTTACAGTTTTCACGAGGGTGGCATTCTAAAATATGTCTAGTTTCTATGAAATTAAATTGAACCCTTTCTAACTTCACAGCTTCACCGGCAAGGCATGTAGCTTCAGTTTCCCCTTCTCCTGCTGGCAGATCTCCAATGAAGGTACTGGCCTATTCCATGGGGCTTGTTATGTCTATGTTGTGTGGTGTATAACTTTTAATTTATATTGTCTGTTTTAGATAATTTCTTATGCTACTGCATTTATGCACATTTCGCATTCACAAATGTAACTGACAGTAGCAGCCCTAAAACCTTCACACTAAGATTTTCAAAACTGTGTACCTAAAGTTAGGATCCTAAATATTTAGGCACTGAAATTAAGTGGCCTGATTTTCAGAAGTTCTGAGCACCCAGAAGCTCTCATTTGAAAATTTTGGCCTAAGACTTTGTCCAGATAATATATCAGACGTAATGTCCTTAACAAATGTGGAAGCCTCCTACTACACAAAGGAACACAACCTGAAGGAAGCAGTTTAGCAGGATTTCTGAAATACACCAGCTTTCTTAGCCCACAGTGACAATTAAATAAAACCCTCTTCACTCCTCCCCTGCCATACGTTGGACTCAATCTTTGGCCCTTCTTCCAGCCCCTTTGCATTGCCTGAGGAAGCTGTCCCTAAGAATCTAATCTAAGTTCCATTGATGTAAATGAAAATCTTTCCATTTTTCCAATGACTTCAGTGGGCTTTGAATCAATCCCTAGATGGGCAGCCAAGAATTCCCCCGGCATGGGGTGGAGGTGCATAAAGCCAGCTCTAAGCACCTGTCTCCACTCCACTGCTGTGCTCACAGCTATCTGATCCTAATCTGGAACAGAGCAGCTGGGCACCAGCCAGCCCAAGATCAGGGGAACAGAAAGTTGGTTTAGATCCACATTCCCTCCACCACTGTTCAGCTGAGGATTGAGTCTGGTGTGTCCGGACTGTCTCTCAAACTAGCTAGCATAAGTCTTAACGTATTTGGTACTTAGCAAAACCTTTTGTATGTATAATATCTTTTCTTATCTCTTCAGTTGTTTGTTGTTGTATATTTCATGCCTTAATACTAATAAGTCTGAGTTTATGACTAAGTCATAATTAAAAACTAATTGTATTTCTTACAGTTTTTCAAACCCAAGCTTCTTTCATTCCTTTCTTCAGCAGAATCGTGAGCCTCTGGCCTGTAGTACCGTGTGGCCTAGTAACTTCCAGGACAGTCAGAGGAGAATAAGGAGATTCTAATGGACAGTATACTACTGGTGCCTAATTATTGCAGTGATGGGCATTTATATAAAAATGCTTAGGATAAACTGAGTTTTCAGCAAATCTCTAGAAGTCTGCACCTTTCCTAACGCATTCAATTCCTCACAATTCAGTGCAAGTACTATTCTACTGTAAAGAAATCAAAATCAAAAAGGGAAAATTATTTTACTGTGATTCTGCTTCCCTGAAGATGTTCTGCTAAAGTTTTCCTTCCTCTCTCTTAACTCCTTAGCGTCAGACCAACCAAATTCTATTGGTTCATGAAGATTTTTGACCCACCAGGATAGCAGTAATGGAGTAGTGTGTGTCATGTCCCCGCTTTGACCATTGTGCACCATCCCCTGCCTGGTATTAATGCTGCCCAACAAACATTGCAAGTCAGATCCTCCACTTACATCGGCGGCATAGTTCCCAGGAGAGGCCAATTAAAAATATTTTATCGTCACTGAAAAAATTGCTCTAGAGAAAAAACAGAAACAAAGTGCAAGCACTGAGACACTTTAAAAAAAGATCACTAGAGTTGAGAAGAAAAAAAAGTACAATTTTCACAGTCCCCTTTTTTACTGTTAAACAGGTTTGTTTGTTTTTTCAAAAAAAGAAAAATTACAATCAGCTCTAATAATCCCCAAATTATATGTGGGGTAAGTGCATAAGAAATCTATTGGAGTAAAATCTACAGAAAACTATAATTACAGGTAATTTTCACTTCTCTAATGATTCTCACTGCCAGGATTCTCACTCCTGGAAGGTAAGAAGCTTAAGAAATGTGCCAGCAAAAAAATGACATAAGGTAGCACTGATATAGGCTCTGTATCAAGGGTAGAACTTCATGCCCCAAGAGCACTGACGTTTGAGTGTCATCATCAGTGCAAAAACTGGTCTGCCTCTGCCAAGAAATCTTATATCTGTCAATGTAGGATGCAAGCAGTGCCTTGAAGTTGGAATAGTATCCTTTCAAAAGATTACAAGTGAACCAGCAAAGCTGGATTCACTCTTCCCATCTCCACTTCTATAACATGAATGTAGAAAGGGGAAATCTGGAAACCATAATGTGGAGCTGCCTTGAGTTGGAGGCCTCAACAGGAGTACATGGGAGAGATCCTGGCCATCTCTCAGTACTTATTGTTTTCATCCTTTCGGAAGACCCAAGAACTCAATACTGAGGACCAAGAACTCAATACCTATGACTTCAGGTATCGAGGGTGGCACATGACTGCCAACAAAGGGCCTGTTTTATACTCTACTCCAGTACTATTGTTCTTGAGGATAAAAATTCTTTAAGAGTTGAGGGAGTTCTACCAATCTTGTGCTGAGGAACTAGGACTCATAAGTGAGAATCTTAGTGAATAATATCTTTAGTAAATAATATTTATCACATATACAATAGCTTGAGCTGCCTCATCACCACTTGGCTTAGAGCAAACAATACTTCTAAACCAGGCTGGCGATGGTGATTTGAGTATATTCCCAATCCTGGAAGTTCTGTGGCTTTCACAAGCAGAAGATGCTAAAAATTTTCAATAACATTGATGCACACTGCAGAATTTGAAGCTACCTGCACTGTTAATGGTATCTGGTAATAAGTTATGGTCCTGAAACCAGACACCACACTGATAAAATGCAGGGGAATTTAATAAAAATTTATTCTCATTAAACAGCTATCATTCCTGTGTTATAAAATGATTAAGTAGTTAATTTTTAAAAAATCATACATGGAATATTAGCACACATGAAGCAGTGTTATATCTCTTTTTACAGCATGATTCATTGCAAAAAATGGGAGGAAAGCTGTAAATATATTCTAAACCAGAGACTGAAGTAGCAGAAGTACTCAATGTGATATAGATACAGTGTTCTGGCAGTAGAGGGCACAGTGCTACTAGTTACACTGCAAGCTATATTCCATTGTCAGTACTATGAAAGTTATTTCTTTTTAAACACTGACAGATTTTTCCAGAGACTGATGATAGGAATACAACATTTTAATATAGCTTACTTCCACTAAAATAAATTGTTGCCATGAACAGTATTTGATGTATAGTTTGAAAATATAAGCATTCTATAGACAAGCTTGGACTATATTTTTACTGGATCTTAATTCGACCATAAATACATGTTTCATCTATCAAGCTCCCAAGAATCAGTGCCAAAAAAAAAAAAAAATCTACCCGGATTTTTAGTGTTCACGGAGAAACATTGCTCTTAATTCTCCTTCACATGAATCCTTCTCTTTTCTTCTTTGCAGGGATCCATGCAATCATTTACCCCATCTCCAGTGGAATGTCATTCCTCGGGGCTCATATCCAACTCTCCAGTCTTGTCAGGAAGTTACAGCAGTGGAATCTCTTCACTTAGCCGATGTAGCACATCAGAAACTTCTGGCTTTGAAAGTCAAGGGAGTGAACAAACTATTCCAAACTACAGTGTTTCTGAGGAGCCGATGAGAAAAGAAAGTAAAACTCCGCCACCTTACAGCGTTTATGAACGAACTTTGAGACGGCCTGTTCCGCTACCTCACAGCCTCTCCATCCCTGTCACTTCAGATCCACCAGCACTGCCACCCAAACCCCTGCTGGCGCGGCCAAACAATCTGGAAAACAGTAGCCGGAGGACTGAACAGGTTCCTCGGCCCAGGCCTCTTCCTCGGAAAGTGTCTCAGTTATAAGAAGTCACTTTTATATTTACTTGCAATGAATTCTTTACCGTTTACGAAATAATATTTAAAAAAAAGTAAAATACATTTAGTGTAGGCACTTTAATATTTTACCCAATTTTTCTTTTACATTATTTTTAAAATGCTTATTAATATTATGTTGCACATTATTAAATGAAATTAATAATTTTGATTGCCAGATATTACAGGAAGCATGAATGAGAGAATTTTGTTAATTTCAAGGTGGTAAATATGGATGCATAGCTTTTTGGTATGTTATGTTCATTTTTAAAAAATAATTTAATTAAATCTAAAACCCCACAAGCTCTCATTTGCATTAGTTGTATGCTTCTTACAAAATGTAGGCTATGCTAACTGAGCTAATTACTAGAAATAAATGCACGCTTCCTAACCACATTGTTTGTAGGCTAGGACATTTCTGCAAGTAGGCTGAAGGTTGTTCCCATTTCCCCATGAGCAGGTTGGTCAATTCAAATATCTGTGCATGTGGGGTTAGGGGTGGTGCGGGGGAGGGGGTTGTTAATGCAAGTTACCCCGCAGTAAAAAGTTCTAAAGACAAAAGTTGTAAGTTCTTGAAACAAAATACTACTTTTGTGTTGCTTTCTAAGAGTAACAAATATTCACATTTCATTCAGTGTAGAACACCTTTCTGGAAATTAATTTAATTGTTGAGAAACTCTTTAGTCCTATAACAGTAGCTTATCTCCTGTATCTGGTGCACTTCTTTCTTTTTAAGGTGCGATTTACCTTTACTCTTTCAGTTAGCCCATTCAAAAAAAAAATCCCATTAATAGTTAGTTGGAGGTTTTCTCCTGTCTTTGAAAGTTAACTTCAAAAAAAAACTCTGTACCAGAAGAACAAATGTCCAGATATAATAGAGGCATAAATGAATGTGTCCTGTTAATAAGGATACACAAGAATCAATACTGGTTAGTATCAAATCAATGCAGTAAGTGAACAAATTTAAAGAATATAAATCACTGGCTATGTATCAGTAAATTTTTAAAAGATAAAGGGCATTAATTCACAATTCTGCACAAATTAGCAAAATTCCTAACAGCTCTTCATGTATATTCTTACTAGTGCAGGTTTTTGTTGTTGTATGTTATTGGTTTTTATTTTTGATTGGTTGTTTTAACTTAGTTGATCATTGTCATCTTTACTGAAGGAAGATGATGGTAGACCGTTCTAGGTTGAATTTCACTAGATAGTGTCTGTAAAGCAATGGAAAGCTAATGCCCAGATGTAGGAGTGTGGAAAAAGCACCTTGTGTATGTATTTTTTGTAGCTCTCTTTCTTTTACTTACTGTTTTTAACACTTGGTTGACAACAGATTTATGAACTGTATTTTAAATCATGTTGTTAAAAATATTCTCCTTCTTTTTTGGGGAAGCTCATGTTGATTTTAATTGTTTGCTTTGTTGATAGCTTAACTGGAAGAAAGTGACCACTTTTTATATTCTCTCAGTGAAACCTTCAGCAGGTATGTGCTGTTGATGGTAGCTATAGAGGTTTTCTATAATAAATGTTCAAGTATTTTTGTACATAACTGGTTAATTTTAATAAGGAGTGTACCATTATGTGAAAAAAGAAGCAAACAGTTGTGTATGCAGTAAGATTGTTATAATTATGCCAAATACTTTATGTATGGAAAAAAGAATATTTGTACATATGTGCTTTTAACAATAATTCTGCCATATTGACTTTACAATTTTGAATGTCAGAAAAAATTAATATATGTTAAAATATTTATGTTTTAGTGAAAGTATTCATAACTGAAAAAGGAACATATGAATTTTAGCTTTGTATCTTGCCTATTTTGAAGTCTGAAATTCCTTGAACTAGCTCTTGCTTTTGACTATAACATTTTTGTGTCTGTAACCACATTATAAAAGATGTAGAAGGCTACATATTTATGCTGGTATGAAGAGGTAATGCCTGAGATTTAACTAAGGTGTTCACAAGTAAGATAACAAAGCTGCTTTGATTTTTCCCCCCCCTGTGTAGTTTAATAGATTGGTTGACTAGTGCTTGAGCACAGTATGAATCAGTGTTATTTGCTCCTGAAGCCATTTATTTTATTTCTGGCAGGGAGCAGAATTGTTGAATTTATCATTTGCATATATTATTGAAGTCAGCTTTGCAGCAAAACATTTCATGAGGTTTCTGTTTACCCAGATGCTCATATAGGTTGCTGCAGAATAAAGTTACTTGATTAATCTTTATAGTATAATTTGTTTTCCACGTAGTAGTAGATTATAAATCAGTTTGTCATAAAATTAAACTTTCTGCCTCCTTTGCTTCAAAGATCCAGCTTTCTTTCTGATAAAAATCTCCTGGATTGAGTTAGTCCTTTCCCTGCTCGGTTCTGTAATGGCTTTGTGAGACAATTGCCAAGACAATAAAGATTTGGAGGGCATTCACCTGCACTTCTGATCAATGGAGGACTGTAACATTTACTATAAGAGTTAGGTTAATTTATGGCAATTTGAACTCCCTGTTTTTATAACCAAGACATCAGGAACACTCTGAACAATAGGAGACCATAAAAAAATGACAGTGAAGTGCTGTAAAAAGGAGCTGACACATTTTCTGCTTTGCCAGTTTTGACAACTTGTTTCTGTAGATCAGCTTTTCTTCCTGGCTTCTACAAAAATGTAGTCTGAAATTTGTTATGTATGCTACAGCACCCAGAGCTTGAAAGGCTACTGTAAATAAAGCTCTCATTTGAATTTTATGCATTATGAATAAATGTAGTTTTCTGACTTATTTAGTGACATTAAGCAGTTCAGAAAATAATGCAAGAGATGTATCAGAACACTCCCCCATCACCCAATAATGTACCTGTCATGCTGTCTGGAATGACTCTCAAATGTGAGTGCCTGTCTCAGGGCAGACTGTCAGAAAACAAGGGCCGATACCCCAAAATGGCGGTATGTTCTATAATTAGATTTCATCAAACCAGTAACAAATGGATCATTATACCAGTCTTATCATGGAGTCACAGACAGTCCCCTTAAGCTCTCCAGCCTATCTTGTCACCCAGATACATTGGACTTAGTGATAATGGTCACATAAACCAAAAATCACATCACATCAGGTTGCTGCCAGTCCCAAGAGACTAGTCACTTACTCCAGATCAACTGGCATTCCAGATATTACACCAAAGACAACGCTGGCAGTCAATTCTATAGTAAACCAACTATAGGTTTATTAGCTAAGAAAAAAGAATGAGAGTTATTGAGTGATTAAAGCAGGTAAAATATAATAACATGTGAGTCAAAGTCTGTAAATCCAAAATGATAGCAGAGATGTAGCCAGTTTCCCAGAAGTCTCTCAGGGATACCCAGAATAACTCTGGGGATCTCTGACTTCTCATTCAGTTATTCCACCCTGTTAGAATCAAAACAGTCCAGAGATAAAGGATCTCTTTGAATCAGTATTTATAGCTTCTTTTCACAGACAACAATCCGACAAGTGTCTGTACCCACACAATGGCCAAATTCTTTGAATTTAGCTCTCTTCATTTGCATTCAATGAGTTATTTAGTTACAGGGATATACATAATAGAAATGCTTGTCATTACATTACAATAGGAATAAATAAGTGAAAACAATACAATTAACGTTTCATTAGTTTACATGAAGTTCTAACACCTGAAACACTCTTACATTAACACACAGTTTGATCTAGGGTTATTTAATTACTAGGTATGCATAATGTAATGTAATAGTAAACAACAGGATAAACATAGGCGGAAACAGTACAATTCACGTCGCCTCTGATCTCTATTAACACACAAGTGAATTGGCCCGAATATATACTAATACATTTAATTCCTTTGATATTCACACACAAGTGAATTGGCCTAAGGCTCTGGCCTGAGCTGGTCTGTCAGCGTCACAGTACCAACACCCAGTTACAAATTGTTGTCAGTGGCTTCATGATTGCTTTTCAATATTATCCAACATCTGTATAACACCTGTGATGGTCTTACTTCCTAATAAGGCAGTCAGCGTGTATCTGGGATCCCATAGAGGTAAGTGCAATATGAACTGGCCAGTTTTTTAGCAGTGCAGTACACTGCAGTTCAGGAGCTAGCTCTCTGAATTTCCAATTATCAGAGGGGCAGCTGTGTTAGTCTGTATCCACAAAAACAACAAGGAATCTGGTGGCACCTTAAAGACAAACAGATTTATTTGGGCATAAGCTTTCGCAGGTAAAAACCCACTTCTTCAGATGCATGGAGTGAAAATTACAGATACAGGCATAAATATATATTGACACATGAAGAAAGGGGAGTTACCTTACAAGTGGAGAACCAATGTTAAAGGCCAATTCAGTCAGATGTGGCCCACTCCCAGTAATTGATGAGGAGGTGTCAATACCAAGAGAGGGAAAATTGTTTTTGTAGTGAGCCAGCCATTCCCAGTCTCTATTCAAGCCCAAATTGATGGTGTTAAGTTTGCAAATGAATTGTAGCTCTGCAGTTTCTCTCTGAAGTCAGGTTTTAAATTTTTTGTTGTTGAAGAATGACTACTTTTAAATCTGTTATTGAATGTCCAGGGAGATTGAAGTGTTCTCCTACTGGCTTTTGTGTGTTACCTTTCCTGATGTCTGATTTGTGTCCATTTATCCTTTTACGCAGAGACTGTCCGGTTTGGCCAATGTACATGGCAGAGGGGCATTGCTGGCACATGATGGCATATATAACATCAGTAGATGTGCAGGTGAATGAGCCCCTGATGGTGTGGCTGGTGTGGTTGGGTCCTATGATGGTGTCACTAGAATAGATATGAGGACAGAAGGCAACGGGGTTTGTTGCAGGGATTGGTTCCTGGGTTAGTGTTTCTGTGGTGTGGGGTGAGTTGCTGGTGAGTATTTGCTTCAGGTTGAGGGGCTGTCTGTAAGCGAGGACTGGCCTGCCTGAATTTCCAATGAAAGGGATGTGGGTGCAGGCTAACAACACTTAGTAAGCTGACTTGTGTGAACTCCTTTAATTTAAAATCATAGGATGACATTCACCTCTGCACAGAAAACTGCAAAGGTCTTGTGGTGGCCCTCTGCACTGGGGTGAATTTCACTCATAAAACTGTAGCCTTAGCTTTAAATTTAGTACAGTTCCTGCCCTCTAGGTCTGTGTACAGAGGGGGCCTGCTGCAGATAGATTTTTTTTCCTGCTACCATATGGAAATGCAGACTCGTTCCCCTTATTCCCAGACCGCACAGAAGCCTCTTTAAATGGTCCCAGTGTCTGGTGCTGAGAGAATAGGCAAAGACTGAGGGGACCAGACAGGAATGGGTGGACAGGTATGTGTATGTGAGTGGGCCAGGAAGGAATTTGGGGGGGGGGGAGGTGACTGAGTAAGTGACACACATCACATCATCCCTCTTCAGGCCCCAAGGAACTTTCCTAAAAAATATATATATATATATATATATATAGCCTGGACTTTATTATCTGTTCTGCTCAGCCTCTCTGATCCAGAGGTGGCAGGGTCAGGCATGGCCAGGGTAGATATTTTGAAGCATCACTCCAATACACCCAGGCTACTGGCAGACCCGAACTCATGTGGAAGCTTAATACCTCATGACATATTGATTAAAAAACTAGAATGATTAAAATTAACATAGCACAAGTTAATTGGATTAAAAACTGGCTAACTGATAGGTCTCAATGTAATGTAAACAGGGAATCGCCATTGAATGGGTGTGTTTCTAGTTGGGTCCCCCAGGGTTCTTGCCCTATTCTTTTTAACATATGTATTAATTACCTAGAAGAAAACATAAAATTATCACTGATAAAGTTTTCAAGTGACTCAAAAATCGGAGGAGTAATAAATAATGAAGAGGACAGATCACTGATATGTAGCAATCTGGATTGCTTGATAAACTGAGCACAAGCAATTTGTGTTTTAATATGTCCAAATGTGTAAATGTATACATCTAGGAACAAAATGTAGGCCATACTTACAGGACAGGGACAGCAATGACTCTGAGAAGGATTTGGGGGACGTAGTGGATAATCAGCTCTACATGAGCTCCCATTGTAACACTGTGGCATAAGGGCTAATGCAATCCTTGGATGCATAAGTAGGGAAATGTTGATTAGAAGTAGAGAGGTTATTTTACCACTGTATTTGGCACTGGTGCAACTACTGCTCCAATACTGTGTCCAGTTCTGGTGACAACAATTCAAGAAGGGTGTTGCTAAACAGGAGAGGGTTCAGAGAAGAGCCACAGGAATGATTACAAGATTAGAAAACATGCCTTACTCATGGAGCTCAATCTATTTAGCTTAACAAAGAGAAGGAGAAGGGATGACTAGAAATATCTAGATGGAGAACAAATATTTGATAATTGGCTCTTTGATCTAGCAGAGAAAGGTGTAACACAATCCCGTGGCTGGAAGTTGAAAGTAGACAAATTCATACCGGAAATATTGTTAACAGTAAGAGTAATTAACCATTGAAACAACTTACCAAAGGTTGTGGTGGAGTCTCCATTTCTGACAATTTTTAAATCAAGATTTGAAGTTTTTGTAAAAGACCTGCTCTACGAATTCTTCTACAGCCTGTGTTATACAGGAGGTCAGACTAGATGATCGCAATCGTTCTTTCTGCCTCGGAATCTACAAAACAAAGGAGCTCTGCATGGATGGCTGTGGCTTCTATATCCCTGTGGATCCAGGCAGATCTGGCAGCTTTGGGTGTAGGCCTCATGACTTTTCTACAGTGGAGGGACCAAAGCCCAGTATAAGAATGTGAATAGAAGTCTGCAAATGATCCCTCAAAGACAGTTCCTCCCAGCACTATCCTCCACACAGGATATAGTGTGAGAGGGGCTGATCTGGGCCACCGTTATAAACCACCGCCATATTTTTTTATTAGATTTATTTGTCCTTATAAGGTCCCCGTGCTTTTAATCCAGTTGTTTACTGATACTTAATTCAGCAAACTACATTGGTTGTTTTTGTAAACATTAATGTACTACCTTGACATTAGATTTACCAAACATTTGAGAGAGGTCTGGGAATCACCTATGGAAGGTTTAGACCTGCGGGCCTTAATGTACGTACAATCATCATCAGCTACATAGAGTGACTATTCCTTGGCAGTGGCATTCCTCTCATGCTAGTGGTGAAGAAAACAGTAAAAATGCTCAGCTGTGGATTATTTTAATATGGAACTCTTTGCATCTGATAGCACAGGCTGCCACCTCTGCAGACTGCTGTGCATCCAGCGTGCATGGTGCAAGCCTCCATAGTATGGATGGGTAAACTTTCTGTGCCTAACTTAGAAACCACAATGACCAAAGTTTGATGGTGAAGTTCTAATTTGATGCTGTTGGTTTTCCTTTCAGAAGAGAGATTATGAGAAGAAAGGAAAGGAAGGGAGGGAGAATTGGAGGTGAAGAGAGTCAAAAATAGGGAGCAGATAAACTCACACTGAAGAGATAAGGATGCAGGAACAACTTTGAAAATGGGAAGCCTCACCCGAGCTGGACGTGCTTCAGTTGGGGGAAGGGCTTACAAAAGAATCTCTTCAGCACAGCAAGGTGGCAGGTGGAGAGAGTCAAACCTGCACTTGCTACCATGGAGGGACTATGTCAGAAGGGTATCCCCAGGAGGAGGACTCCTGCATGAAGCCAGGACTCCCCAGCCTTCAGAGGCCCATTGGCACCCCAAGGAGGGACAGTATGGTAGGAAGAGAAC